GCGAGGAGGCTTTGAGCCTGGCACAGGGACAGATTTGCTGCCTGTTTTGTGGGAATCACTTACATTTTAGGGACCAGAGCGACCATGAGTGCACAGGTGAGGGCAGGAGCTTATAGAGCTCTGAAGGCATACCCCAAACGAAGATGGGCTCTGATGGCCTTGCAGGTCCCTGGATTTCCCTGAGGAGTTTGTGCAGAGGGAATTGCCTTCCTCCCAGCCTGGAGCCCAGAATGCTGGCCGAAGGCCTTTGCTGAAGCTTGGAGAAGTGTTGGTCATGTGAGGTGATGTCCAGCTTCCCCAGACAGCCTGTGGAGTTCCCTGCCACCACCTCTATTTCCCAGCCTCAGGGCCTTTGCTCAAGTTCTCCTTTCTTCCCAGCACACCTATCCCAGCAATATCTACCTGTGTAAGTGCTATCCTTTCTTCAAGCCCCAGCTCAAAATACCAGCCCCTTTTAGAAGCCTTCCCAGTCCCTCCCCACCCTCTCTCAGTGAGTGTGTCTCCCCTCATAACTTGCCCAAAGCAACTTCTTTGTCCTTTTATGTCTCATGTAATTATTTCCAAAGGGATCTGCCCTAACCCTAACACATGAGCCCCTGGAGGACAAACACTATGATGTACTCCTTTCTACTCACCCAAACCTTGCACATATTAGGAGGTTAGACGCACATATTTTTTGTGTTTAACTCCTCCACTAGAATATCCGCTTCTTGAAGGAAGGGACCTCGCCCATCCCCAGCACTTAGAACAGTGCCTAGACCATAGCGGCAGTTATGAAATATTTGACTGTTGAGTGATGAGCAGATGAATAATACGTATTTTCCGGCTTGAACAAAGCCCTCCGCCCCAGGGAAGGCTATCAGAGGTTGATGCTGGGACTTTCTATCAACAATTAACCAAAGGCCTGAGTCAGTGTGGGTGAGCAGAGTTGGGATCTTGTCTGTAGGTAGCAGGGACTTTTGTCACACTAGTTCCTGGGAGGAAAAAAGTGCACCGAGCTATCTGAAAGCAGGAGTGAAAGATGTGAGTGACAGAACCGAACATGAGGAGCCAGCAGTTTAAAAAAAAAAAGTGACTTCACTTTGACTACCTTCTCTATTCCACCTTGGGGGCCATTTCTTTTGTTCAAGATGCAGCCACTTCACACTTCTCTCCCATTCATTTTGGGGATGACATTTCCCCCTCTTTCCCTTTCTTGCCCCTTTCTGGGTGGGTGACATCACCAGAGCGTCAGCATCAGGCCTGTCTGATACCCTTTCTTGCCTACCTGTCCAAACCAGAGGAGCCTGATCGGCCAGCTGTAAATACTTCATGCACGCAGGGATTATAACTGGTCACATTACAGAAGGTAGAGGAGGAGGAGGAGGGAGTCATTTGTTTCTTGCCCACTGCCTCTCAGCTGTCAGTGAGGGAACCACGTGTGGACTGGGGCATGAAGGTGGAGACTGAGCAGCGTGGAGAAGCCGGCACGCCCAGCCTATTCAAGTTGCCCCGTGGCCAATGGGGTTGGAGGCCAGAGAGAGTTCTGATCAGAAAGTCATCTTTGGGATGACTAAACTTAAAGAGAGAGAGAGAGAGAGAGAGAGAGAGAGAGAGAAGATAGGATCTCTGTAATTGGCAAGATTTAACAATCAGAGGGACCTCAACATTCCCAAGTGGAGGCCAGGGTAGGCCAAGGCCTGGACGGCTCTGCCAACGTGAATTACAATCCACGGGCTCTTAAAAGGTGGGGTTTGTGTCTTCCTTGACCAGCCCCCTCATCCACTGCCTCCGCCTGCTCCAGATGACCTGCCAAGCTCTCTGAGCAGCACTGGTCTGATGTGGGAGCAGGTCAGGGATGAGGGTGATTCCCCCAGGTCCCCACCAGGGTCCTCACTCTGCTCCCCTGTGACCACCCCTGGACCTTACCTGAGCCTGAAGGAACAGGCAGGAAAATTGGCAGAGCCAGGAGAAAAAGGACATTTATTTCCATACATCAGGTAAGCAGGGGAAGAGAGCACAGCCCAATGAGTACAAACCAATTGCAGGAGAGAAGGGGAGACAGCAGATGGGAGCGGCACCAGGCACTGCCCTTGGGCCCCTGTCTGGTGGCGTTGGTGGGATGATCTTTAGGGTGGGAGCTGGGACTGTCAGTCTGCATGTTGTCATGTCTGGGATAAGTGTGTGTGGGCAGGGCGACTGGAAGAAGAAAAATGACTCAGGCTCAGGACACAGGGTGAGGACTCGCATCTAATACACATCAGTACCGACCAAAGCTTCCATCTTCAGTTTTTCTGATCACAAGCCCTCAACCCAAGGCCTTCCCTCTCAAGCTGAGATTGTGATCCAGGCAACTTGGACAGAGGGGGAGGGAGGCAGTGCTTGGATAAGCCCTGAATTGGCATTAGGTGGAATGGGTTTACTCTTCAATGGGTCATTGCACTTAACACACTGATGAGACAAAGAAGGGTAGGGGCTAGAAGTTCTGGCTGGTACAGATGCACCCCCGTCTGCGTAGGCCTGCTCAGCTCGAACCCAGAAGCACCTGAGAGCCCCTCCCCACACGGACTCTTAAGAACCTGGGCCCAGCTCTGCTCACGGGTCTCTCCAGCTGCACAGAGAAAGGACTGCTCTCTTAAGAGTAAAGATGAAGCTGAGGTTCCCCTAGTCATTCCCGGTGCGGGGAGGCGGGCCAGCTGCCACCACAGCTCCCTCCCCCTCTCAGGGATGCAGCTGTGATGGAGATGTTGGGTATTTAAATTAAAAAGTAATAAGACAGCAGGCACTGAGAAGAGAAAGCCCTCCCCCAAGTCATGGGGAAGGAACTGCTGTTCCCACCCCAAACTCCTCCCCATGGACCCAGCAACCCGAGAATGTCCCAGTAGGCAATCTGTCCACCGTCCCTGAGCGGGGGTGGGGTGGGGGAGGGGGCTGAGATGGAGGTCAACTTGCCGGCTCTATGCAGTGCCAAGCCACCTGCCATCCACGGTGCCCAAGGCAGGAGCAGAAAGCTCTTTTTTCAGAACCGCTCTTCCCTCCACCTCTTCCACGTGGAAACGTCAGATACCCACAGCCTGGGAAGCCCCCTGACCGAAGAGGGTCGGGTGTTTCCCATGCAGATCAGCAGTCAGGTGGGGGAGACCCGTGCCCCGCCATTTCCCGGGAGAGGCGCCGTGGCAGCTGTAGGCCGTGGGTGGGAGGGGTGCACACCACTCCCCTGGGCTATGCGTTGGTCTCTGTCTGCTTGGCCTCTGTGTCGCTGTCACTCAGATAGTTGTGGGAGTATCGGGGCCTGGAGGTGCTGTCGAGAGGGTCGTGCTCATCATCTGACCGGTCAGGGGCAAGGGACTTCCAGTAGCTGGTGGGGCTGCAGGGAGAGAGGAACGAGGTCACAGAGGAAGGATGCTCTTTACCTTCCACACCAAAGCCTTTGGTCCTGAGGAGGCCCCCCAAACCCTGTCACAAATTGAGAAGCAGAAGACTTCCCTAGCTTCCCCAGAAGATACTCAGAGTAGTAAGAGAAAGGAGCATATCGTTTTGACTCTGAAACCTTTTACAACTCCGAGAAAAGCAATGCTGAAGAGCAGTGGGTCTCGAACTTGAATGTGCGTAAGAATTGGCTGCAAGATCCCCGGGTTCTTCCCCTGAGAAGTTTTGATTTGCTAGCTCTTGGGTGGAATGCAGGAATTCTGCATTTTCAACTCCCTCCCCAGAAGATTCTGATACAGGCAGTCCATGGACTGCATTGACTTGGAGACTGCAGGTCTGGTGATTACACGACTACAACCTGTCTTAGTAAAGTTACTCCCAAAAAGATTCCTTCTAAGAAGGACGGGCTTTCCCCATTGAATACTCCCAGATCATAACCCTTCTTCCTAATCAGGTTTTCCTAAGGCCGGTGAGAGTTTCTGCCCTTGACCATGATATCATCTACTCACAAGGAATAGAGACTCAGGATGTAGGAGCTGGTTAAGACCTCTGTTTCAGGGTGGCATAGTCATCCCTTTCTTGGTACCATAATCCAACCCCAAGGCTTTCATCAGGCCAGTGGGAGCCTCTCGCTCTCCCCTGACCAAGATATGAAGCAGCATTACTCCCTGGATGGAGCAGACTCATGGCGTTGAGCACGGATGGGATCTCATTTCCACCTCTAGTCACCTTCTCTTTTCTTTCTTTTCCAAAGTCTTAGAGCAGCCTTCCCCTGCCCCTCCCACCTCCACTGCCTCTGCCAGTCCAAGTGCACTGTAATTTCAGCAATGTTGGAGAAAATGCAGCCCGGGGTGGCTCCACCCCTACCAGTGCCCTGCACTCAATGGGCCCCTCCCTGCCCAGTGATCTCAGGAACGCAGCCCTGCTTCCAGATCCTAGAGAGCTTCTGCTAGGATAAACAGGAATCCTGTGATCCCACTGTCTACAATTCTGATTTAAGAATCTGAGGAAGGCCCTTGTTTACTAGCGCTTTCAAAGTTCTTCTATCTCCAAACCAAAAGAGGAGGACACAGCGTTCTGCAAGAAAGAACCACATGCTCAGCTTTTCCAACTGTGTTGAAGAAAGGATTTCATCACTGAGTATTTCCTGTAATGTGAGACACTGTCTTAGGCACTCTGGATGTGCTATCTTATTCTTCACCACATGAAATGGCATGAGGAAGCTGGTTCAAAGAGACGAAGCACCTTGCCCAAGGTCACACAGCCAGTGTGTAAATCTGAACCTGGGACCTTAGACCTCAAAGCCTTTTGATGACTCCACCTTGCTGCCAGACGGCTGACCTGAGGAGAAAACCAGATGAAACCTGCATTCTCCCCACTGGCCTGGGCGAGAGCCCAGGGGGTGTGTAAAGACAGGTCTCTCTTTCTCTCTCCCTGGGGAGATGGAAGAGTCTGATAGAAGAGCTTGTTCAATTATGCAAAACGGTTTAGGAATGGGGCAGTGTGGTTAATAGTTATCGTATTTCTCATGAACGAATTACCATTTTTAAAGGAATCAGAATAGCACAGAACACATTTAATATAAACTAGTCTGAACATAAATGAGTTTTACTTTGATGGGCCAAAGGCACTTAAGGACTCTGGGACGTCTCAGGGACAGAATTATAAAGCTCAATGATGACTGTGCAACATAGAAAAAACTGGGGTTATTTTAGCTTTTGGATTGTTTGAATTGTGAATTAGCGGGAGCCTGATTTTATTTTCATTTTTTTAGACAGAACTTCTGGGCACCCAATGCTAAGGTCTGCTGTTGGGCAAAGGAAGGAATGGCTCTGTGGAAAGACAGTGGGGTAATTTTGTGGGGAGGGGGGGTGGTGAGGTAGGTGCCAGGGCTGGGACCCAGATGCAAATGGGGTGCTCCTTTCCATCCTCACACCTCTCCTCAGAGCGGAGCTGCAGACCCCACTTCCATATCCCTGTGCCGGCCAGGCGGACACCTGGGTGAACGACAGCTGGGTTTCAACGCTGTTCCGTCCAGATGCTGGGTGCAGTGGCAGAGGCAGCCGGGAGCGCTAAATGCCAGGCCTTTCTCCCCTGCTCTGTGCAGCCACGAGACACGCCTGCTCCCACCCTGGGTGCTCTTTTAGCCAGTTTCCTTTGCGGCTTCTACAGGCACAGCTGTCAGAGAGTCAACAGCAGGCAGCTGGCCCCCTTCCCTGGGGCAAGAGTCAGGGCTGCAGTTTGAACATTTTAACCACATTGTTTCAAAAGCTTTCCTCCTCACAAGCCAGTGTCTCCTGCTCAACACTGTCACAAACCATTTGGTGCATAAGCTAATTCCCACTGGGCGAGCAGCCCCCTCCCCTTGCCTTTGCTATGGATGCTTTCAGTGTTCTGCATTCTTGCAGAGCCCCATCACCGGGCGGGAAGCTAAACTGCCCCCACTCTTGGCAGTTTATTCACCCAAAGCCAGTTCACGCTGAGTCCAACTAGGTCCTCCCTCCCCTGGACCTTCTCTGCCAGCTCTGTACTGGGTGGCTAGCTTCTGGCTTGGTGCCCACTCTGGCCGCAGTGAATCCAATCCTTGTTGGAGGTGGCGGTGTGTAGGGTTTCAGGACTACTCCTGTTTTCCTGGTGGACAAGAACTGTGCTGGTGGCTGAGGGAAGAAACAGGCTTTCTGTGTTCTTGTTCTTGCTGGGTCAAGGGTGATGACGGGCTGAGTCACTAGGGTCTGAAATCCACCAGTTGCTGGTCGGTGTGGGATGGCCTGCCTAGGCCCACGTCTCCCTCTTCAGGTACTGGTACCGGGCTCAGAAGGGCCTGGCCCTCTCTGCTTTCCAAACCTCCTCCCATGGCCCATCAGCTGACTTCCCGTGCTAGGGGAGCAGGGCACTCAGCAGGGCTGCGGAAGGAAGGGCTGAGATGGTAGACCCAATATTATGACCCCTGCCTTTTCTCACTGTGTACTGACAACAGCTCCCTAGTGCAATTGAGATGCTTCCTACTCTTCCCAGGGCATCCTGCAACCATCTGCCACGTGGGGGGAGTGACAGAGCAGGGGTAAGCCCAAGGGCTTGGTTTCTGAGCAGCTCAGGGCCCACAGAATCTGAGTTGGCCATGAGCCCGGTCTGGGTTCAAGTTCCACCTCCCCCATACCATCCCCCCAATCCCATCCCATCACCATCTCCGAATAGCTACAGGTAACATTCACTTCCATGGGCTCCATTCCTTAAAACAAAACCGGCCCCTTTCGGTAGAACCCCGCCCAAGCTGACAGTGTGCTTGGGCAGCTGCTCCACTGCACAAGAGGCCCACTAGCACGCGACAGGTGTGTGTGTTAGTCCATGCATCTAGGAAACATTGCCCGTGCCCCAGGGGCCTGCGCTCTGGGGTCATACCTCCTGGGAAGCAGCAAGCTTGCGCTGGGAGGGTACCATGCCAAAAACAACTTCACATAACCAGGGTGATCCAAATGTCACCGCCCACCAGGGAAACTGGCAACAATAGTATTCCTGTGAGTCAGTCTTCGCCTTTCTTCCAAGTGGGGGTGTGGGCACAAAGGGCCTAACAGCTAGATCTCCCTCCCACAGGGAGAAGGCTGGGGGAGGCAGGAGAGCCAGGAGGGGGCTGTCACTCAGCAGCTGCTAATTTCTATTCATTAAAACTTTACAAGATGAGCTAAGATGAGGTGACGCTCATGTGTGGGCTTCGGGTAGGAGGGGTGGGGAGAGAGTCAGGCATCTCCAGGTCTGCTGCAGGGTGCGGTGGTGTGGGCGCTGCAGCCCTGTAAGCCTTGCACTCTTAGGCTCGAGACGCATGCCAGAGAGGAGGGTGACACTGCAGGCGGGGGAGAGCTGAGCAAAAGGCCCCTTAATAGCTGATGGCCAGTGACGTACCAACCCACGCCCGGGGGTCAGCTAGAGCCCTTTCCTGGGCCCAGCGTGTCAGGGTCATGGATGGAAGTTCCATGCGGGTGCTGCCAGACACACAGAAGAAACATTTTGCCCATGTGCTCTGCCTTGGGTCGTATGGAGGAGTAGTTGAGGGCAAGCTGAATAGACTCAATTCAGATCGTGGCAACATCACTTACCAGCTATGTAACCTTGGCAAATAACTTAACCTCCCTGAACCTCAGCTTCTTGTTCTATAAAATGGGGCTAATCAGACATTTGTTGTGGGGTTAGTGTGAGGATTAAGTGAATAAAATATGGCACGTATCTGGCGGGGGGGTGGGGGGTGGTCCCTGGCCCAGGGTTAGGACTTGATAAGTGGGAGCTGTGACGGACATCACCAGCGAGTTCAGCTGACTGGGCTCAGGGCCCAGAATGACTATTCAGCTCAGCTGGCCCCCGCTCTCTGAGGTAGCCAGGAGGCTCTCCGAGGCCAGGCCTGCCCGCGAGGAATGCAGGAAGGGGCCTGGGTGGTGGCGGGTGGGACGGGAGCACGTTAGTTCACACCAAGCGGCACACACCATGCTCTGCACTCCACGCCAGGTGCCACCTACTGCACTAGTCGCTCTCGGGGCGGTACAGGTACCGCATCATCAGGCTGTCCACCTCTTTCTTGCGCTTCTTCTCCTCCTTCCGAGACTGTCGGCGTGCCTGCCCAGCCTCCTTGTCCTCCGCAGCCGGGCCCTTCTTCACGCTCGAGCGGCTGTGGCCTGAGACAGTGGAGTCACTGGATGTCGATGAGGAGGACTCAGACTCCGTCTCTGTTCTCTTCCTTCTCGATTTGGACTTCTTCTTGCTTTTTCGAGAGCTCCCCTTCTTCCGCCACCTGTGCTCCGAGGAATCTTCGGAGCTGGAGCTGGAGCTGCTCGTTCTCTCGCTCCGGCTCTTCCGGCTGCTGCGGGACCGAGAGACGTCCGCAGCAGAGGCTGAGCGGCGGATACTGGTGGCTCGTGCCGGGGGGTCCAGTTGGGCGCTCCGGGTACTTTGGATGCTCTTCCGGTCATCCTCCTCAGAGTCAGGCTCCAGGCTGCTCCGGTGGAACGGGACGGGCTTGTAGCTCAAGACCTCATGGATGGCAGCCTCCAGGTCTGGGTCTAGGTAGGAGTGACGGCTGATGGGGCGGACACTGGAGTCGAGAGACTCATCCGTGGTGGAGGCGGAGATGCGGGGCTGGGGTGGCACCGACAGACTGCAGGCCAGGGATGGGTAGCTATACTGTGAGCGGGCCTCACTCAAGGCCACACTGGCTCCATCGTCCCAATCATCCAGGCAGCTCCGGCCCAGGGACAGGTGGGAATCGGGGCTCTCCCGGCTGAGGGCTGAGGCCCGGCCCAAGGAAGGGCTGAGGGTCCTTGACAGGCTGTCGAGCCTCGAGGTGCTGCGGCGGGAACTGGGGGAGCCCGACAGCGAGAAGCTCGTGGAGGAGCAGGCCCCATCCTCGCCGGAGCCACGCTGTGTGGCCGAGGAGGCCCGGCTGACGGCCGCAGAAATGGCCGAGGCCCGGTCAAAGTCTGAGCCCCACGGCTTCTCCAGCCCCCGGCTAGAGCAGCCCCTGACCCCGGAGAAGACGGAGCCACATTCCTCAGGCTCCTCGGACTTCCTGCCCAGGCCCGGCTCCTCCCTGGGGCCCCCGCGGGCCTTCCGGGGGGGCCTCTCGGGGGAGGCTGGCCGCTCGCTCAGGGTGGTGAAGAGCGAATCCTCATCCCCAGTGCCCCCGATGGAGTCCTTCAGGGTGAGCCGCTTCCGATAGCTCAGGGAGCTCAGCACGGAGGCCGGCCTCTCCTCCACCCCCTTGCCCTCCTTCCCCAGGGTGTTGAGGGCCGCTCTGCTGTGCGGGGGTGAGGCCAGGGAGGAGAGAACCGGGAGTGGATTAGCAGCAGCAGAGAGAGAATGAGAGAGAGAAACAAGCATTAAACATAGAGAATAAAGACACCGGGGGAGGGAGAAGGGAGGAGAACTTGGCAGCAGCCCTGGCAAAGTGGCCGTGAGAGCGTCGGAGGAAATGAAGCAAAATAATTTGCGTCAGTGAAAATAGCTTCATGGAGAATGTCATGTAAATTAGACTATTGTTCTGTTTCATCACTTTTTCCCCTCGAAAACGTTTAGTTCAATTTATTTCATTGTCAACTACCTGGAGCCTGGTGCTGCGCCGTGGTGAATGGCAGTGGGGCGGGGAAGGTGGCATTATCTCCAATAACAAAATGTTGTTTGGCCGAGTAAATTAAACCAATTAGAGGGGGCCGCTGGGTGCTTGCGGTGAGGGGCTGGACTTGGGAAGGGGCCTCAGAGGAGCTGGAGAAGGAGAGGGATTACTTTTTCTACCCAGCTCACCCAGCGCTCTCTGGGAGGAGGTGGAAAGGCGAGCCCTGGGGGATCAGGATGGCTCTGAGTTGGCAGGGCGGAGTCAGCAGGGAAGTGGCCACGGGAGGGGTGGGAGCAGAGGACCCCGGCTGGCCTGTAGGTGAGGGATGGGAATTGGAGACCTGGATTTCAGGGGTAGCTAGCTGCCTGTGTGATCAGAAGACTGTGACTGGGCTGGAAAATAGGGGAGCAAGTTCCCCCAGTGGATGGGTGTTAGCAGAAAGCATGGTGAAGGGCGAGTGAAGAGACCAGAAGAAGAAGAGAATGGGCAGAGAAAGACAGAAATGTGTCTGTAGCTGTGACAGGGAAGTCAGGGGAATTGGGGCCTTTTATGCTGCTATTCCTACTAAGACCTCAGAGGTCCACAGCCAGCCCGGACTGGCCTTGTCCAGGGTGTGGGATCCAGAGTCCCCCTGTGCCCCATTTCAGTCTTGATTCCAAGGGCCCAAACCATCAGGTAGTTCGTTCAACATCTGTTGAATGAATAAATGGGGATGAAGTTAAACCTACACCAAACCAAAGCCCTGAAGCCCGGTAGGAAAACATTACCTCGGAAAATTAAGGGTGCCGCAGACCCTGACTAAGAAGAAACCAGGCCTCCTGTGCTCATCCCATGTGCCAGGGGCAGGCCTGGGCCCCTCACGCACATACCAGGCAAGAGAGAGATGCAGGTGGCGTGAGGCCCACCCTCTTTGGGATCAAGGCGCTGCTCATCCATCCCAGGGGCACGAGGTGGCCTTTCCTCCCACCTAAGGCCACATGCTCACCTAGAACTCTTCAAGCTGCCATCGTCGGAAGCCGCCTTGGAAGGCCCCTTGTTTTTGGACAACCATGACTTGACCCCGTCGACCCGGTCCTCCAGCTCTGAGTCCACATCTGAGTCCCCCTCGCTGTGGGATGAGGAGCAGAAAGGTAGGCAAGGCTGGGAAGAGGTGATCACCTGGTGGCCCAGGAGGCAGCACCAAAGTGGCAAAGCAAGTTTGTCTTGGGTGGGGGTGGGATGCAGGGCAGCATGCGCATCAGTGAGTCAGAGAGAACAAGAGAACAAGTCAGATGGAGGAGCACACCATCCACAAGGACCCTGCCCCGCTCAGCAGGCCACATTGTGTGACAGCCACCGAGGAGACCCTGAGGAGCACGGAGGCACCTCCACCCCACTTTCTGTGACAGGCTACTGTGCAGCCAACCAATCCAGTGAGAACGACAGGGAGACCGTCCCTTCATCAATTACAGCTAAATGGCTTTTGGTTAGAAAGAGGAGTCCTGGGCCCTTCAGCTCCTCCCTGGGGCCTATTCTGCTGTTCTTGTCTGCCTGTTCCCAAAAATGTGGCTACAGCTGCTGCCACTTTCCATGCCTTTGCTGCAAGAGCTGGGCTGCTGGTGATGGAACAGAGAACAGAAGGGCTTCATTACGACTTCAAGTGAGCTTGAACCCGGAGTCTCCTGAGCTGATGCAGTGCCAACTTGGGCACTACAGGCCATATCGCAGACCCATCCTGCGACTCCCCTTGGCCCTTAAGAAACAGAAAGGACAAGGCAGGGACCGCAGCATCTCCCGAGGGGTTCGTAAGAGATTCAAGCTGCACCTGGAGATCCAGTGGGGCCCAGAAATCCCAGACAACAAGGGCTCTGTCTCTCCCAGTCTCCTCTTCCACCCTCAGGAAGCCTCCAGCTCTTGCTCCCCCAGGGCTTTTTTCTGGCCAAGCTGGCCTGAGCCCTCTCGACTTGCAAGAAAGCCCAAAGGAGTCAAATTCTGATGCTGGAATCACGGTGACCTCCTTACACAGCAGCAGGGGCTTGGAGATATAGCTTCTGAGTGAGACTGCTTCTAGAATTCTGCAAGATGTCTGCTCACCATGTTCCCTGCTATGGATATGCTAGGATTGCTCCATGATATAAATTTCCTTTCATCTGTGTCAACAGGAGCAGCCCCATTCCTGATTTATGTTCTTGAATAAATAGCCATACAGGTGTGCACGCGTGCGCGCACGTGCGTGCGGGTGTGTATGCACATATACACACACACACACACACACAGAAGAAGCCACCAGACTCTGTTCTGGGGATGAGACAGCATGACTCGTGGGGAGGGGAATAAAGAAGCATATTTTATGGGCTTCCGTCAAATACAGAATTATAACAAAGACCAGGCTGGCTGATGCCCCGGTTAAACAGGAGTTTAGCAGACAGCCCTGAAACGGCTAATGCAAGCCCTGTGCCTGTTCGAGCCTGGCAGATTTACTATGGTGCACAGGCCCTGTGGAACGCCAATACCACCTGACTTATACACCCGTGCAAAAAACCTCCTTCTCTAGCTTCAGAGCCTGTAACTTATCACCGCCGTTCATAACCATACTGATTGTCATTAGAAAGGAGGTGCTGTATGCATTGCAAAATCTACGTCTACATGTTAAAAGCGTTTCTGTATAAATCTCCCTTAATACTGTGCTGTTTACTGCTTTCATTAGGGTTATGGCAACAACAACTGTATCTCTAAGTAAATCGAAACATTATTTTTCTGGCTGCCTTAGCACACTCGCTCAATAACTTGGAGCAGGGGCCCAGAGCCGCTGAGGAAAAGACCCCCTCTGCCGTCAGCAGGAACCTGGCTAGGACTGCAGGCCCTGTGTGCCTGCATGAGTGCACGCTGGTGTGTGTGTGCGCGTGTGCAGTGGTTTAGAATATGATCTGAAATGCGCATTTTATCAGTCCTCGAAGCTCCTCCAGCCCAAGGATGGCAGGGCTAGAACACACAGGGGACAGACAGTCATGGGCCCAGAATATGAATTTGCCTCCTGACATTCAGAGCAGCGAATGGGTTGAGAAGCTGGCCTGCCTGCCCTTGCCTTCCCTTTAGTTTCAAGCCTATAGAGGATGTTTGGATTCTTTTCCTTAAATAATCAGGCCCGTAAACAAACTCCAGGGGCAGGCAGGCTCGGGGGGCAGTTGAAATTTTAAATGGTCGGAATTAAACCTTGTGTCAAATACAATTTATGTCCAGGCTCATGTGCTATTAGTTAACTGGGAGCTGAATCCCGGGGGAACAAACAAACGGCGAAAGAACGGCAGGGGATATTAACTGCGTGTGACAACCGGGCTCCAGTGGCCCTCTGTCACTGTTACACACTATTACATTTATCATTAGCTCTCACGGAGTCCTTTGCGCTGCCGCCAGCCCATCCTGGCCAGGGGAGGAGGCCTGCCAGGCAAGAGAGAGTGGGGGAGGAAACCCAAAGCGGCGCTAGAACAACCACCTCCAAAGACCAGCCCTGTCAGACCTGAAGGAGGATCACCCCGATCTGCCTGAGGGCCCGCACATCTGCTCCAGTTGCCCAGCTCCCACCCAGAAAGAAGGAAACGGACAGGGGGTGGATTTACTGGGCTTCCCGCCACCTGACTGACAGCAGCACAAATGCCTGGGGCCTCCTTCTGCCCAAGGTGCCTGCGGAGAGTAAACACATCTGGCTGTGTTCCCTTCCCCTGCCTGGATGCTTTCTCCCAACAAGTAACTGTTAGATGCCCCTCACCTTCTACCCTTGTCTGCCAAAAGAAGGTGGCGGACCTTTCAAAATGAAACATACCCACTTCTTTCAGGCAGCTCAGGCTCCAAAGGAGCCCAAGGAAGGGGAGAAATCCAGCCCAAACAGACTTTTCCCCAGAGAAAGAGGCCGGGAAGCGGCTACACTTGGTTTCTGATGGGGCAGAGGCTGAGGCTCACGAAGGCAGGCTGTGGGTACCACCCAATGAGGCTGAGCTCTCCTTTCTTTTTTTTTTTTTTTTTTTTTGGTACCCAGGACTCTCCCTTTTTTGGCCTTTCCGGCTGCGGGGCACAGGCTCCGGACGCGCAGGCTCAGCGGCCATGGCTCACGGGCCCAGCCTCTCCACGGCATGTGGGATCTTCCCGGACCGGGGCACAAACCCGTGTCCCCTGCATCGGCAGGCGGACTCCCAACCACTGCGCCACCAGGGAAGCCCATGAGCTCTCCTTTCTGACAGAGCCCCCATCCTGCCGACCAAGGATGTGGGGGCCAGTGAGCCTTCCAGGTGGAGCGCACCCTTGTTGCCTGTGCTCTACAGGGCGCGGCCTGCCCCCTCGCCTGATACAGGGCGTGGCCTGCCCCCTTGCCTCCCTTGGGACAGAGTGAGCCGTGTTAGCATGAGGGACTAGCTCAGAGGAGGAGAGGAGGCTGTGTGTCCACATGCGACATGCAGCAGGGCGGGAGCCCAGGGTTAGGGGGAGGTTAGACACCACGCGAGGAGAGGCAGAGAGCGCGTGCGCTCCAGTCCTCACGGTTTATTCTTTCTTTTCTGATACTTTGTCACCATGTCCTGCAAACTGGAAACAGAAAGAAAATGGTGGGCAAGGGGGCCGGAAGAACACAGAAAAGTCAACCAAGGTGGACCTCTCAGCCGAGGACCCCTCCTTCCTCAGCAAGACAAGGCTCTGGCTGGCTGAGACCAGGAGGTGGGACAGTGCTGTCCTCAGAGGGCGGTCCAGGCCGCCTGGGGCATCATTCCCCTACCCTAAAGGAGCAGGCTCCCCGGGCATCCCAGGAGCAGGATGGGGCCTCGGCCTTCAGGTGGGATAGGGGCAAGTCTCACCCGGGCAGCAGCTGTCCAGCCCTCAGATGCTGCAGGACAGGGTCCATGCTGGGGTCTGGCAATGAGGGCAATGGTGGGCTAGAGGCTCAGTGGTGGGGAGGCCCAGACTGCAGCTGTCCTGCCTGGTCTGGAGGCAGTCAAGAGGGCCTCCAAGCCGGCCACGGTTGCCATAGAGGCCCCTCACCTGTTGATGAGGCCCTCGTTCTCATCGCTCTCCATCTCGTCCTCAATGGCGGCCTGCAGGTCCCCGATGCGCTTGAACGCCAGTTTCAGATCAGCCTGTAGGCTCTGGTTAGCAGCTTCCAGACTCTCCAGATCCATCTCCTAGGAGGGAGAGGGGGCAGTCCAGTCCACAGGAGGGCAGTCTCTCACCCAGCTGCCCCAGAAAAGGCCGGCTTCCAGTCTCCCTGGGCCAGGCAGCAGCTACGTGGGTGCCGCTGAGAACCTGCAGAGCTTTCTCTGCTCTGCTGTTGCTGGGCTGTTGAGGCCTGGCCTTGCCTGACACAGACTCCGGTACCACCCTTGGCCCCTGGCCTGCCCTGAGGCTTTGTGGACTGTGTTCTTGACATGTTCTCTTCCCTCTAATTCTGGTTTAGAATTAAACCATGCTTTCTTTGCAGCCCGCCTCCACAAGCCCACGGGTGAGGTGTGTGCTTAGCAGCTTCTCAGAGGGCCGCCAGCCTCAGGCCTCGTGGGTAGGGGGCATTACCAGTTCATGCTTCTTGCGGCTCGCCTCGGCCTCCTTTCTGGCAAGCTCGCCCATCTCCTCCTTGGTGTCCCGGAGCTGCCGCTGTAGCCGCTTGTTCTGCTCCTTCTCCCGGTTCTCAGCCGCCGTGCGCTGATCCCGTTCCTCGGTCAGCTTCTCCATGTTCTCCTTGAGCCGGCCGGCCAGGCTCTGGACAGGGAGGTGGGAAGAGGGACCCATCAGCCAGACAGAGAGCGGGGTGTGGCAGAGCTCCAGACTCAGGAGACCCGGGTCCAGCTCCGGCTGCCCCGCTCACTGGCTAGGTGGGCAAGCAACGAAAGCCCTCGGAGGTGACTTCCTTTGTCCTTCTGTGAAAAAGGGAGAATAACACCTATTCCCCAGGGGTCTTTTAAGGCCCGAATAAAGTAATGCACGTGAAGGGACTCTGGAAGATGAAAAGTGCTATTATCATCATTATCACCACCTAGGTCGGAGGAGAGCTCTGGCTAGAGTCTGGGCCTGTCCACACTGATGCCATGTGTGGTGCCTCCACAGGCAGCAGGGTTTCCCTCAGAGACCCTAAACCCAGAAGGTCCAAAGGCTAGGGCCTGTGCTCAGAAGTAAATGGCAGAATTCTGGATGAGGAGGAGACTGAGCAGTCATCACGTGCCAAACACAAAGCCATTCCTCTAAGCCTGATGAATCTCTCTTTCCCCCGAAACGTGAACACATTTTCCCCTTCTGCGCCATAGGACGCTAAGCAAAAAAAGCCCTGGAGATTGGGGCAGAGCGTGAGGGAAGAACGCTGCTTCTGGTCCTAATCCTTGGTTCTACCACTGACTGGCCGTGGGGTCGCCACTCTCAGCCCCCAGCCTCTATGTCTCTAAAATAAGGCTACATGTCTAAGGGCTGTATGTGTTTAACATTCTGTGCATCTAAACCACTGTACTGCCTTTCTGAGCAGAAGGGAAAATGAGAGAGTTGAGGAAAGGGACTGGGGCCCACGAGAAAAGGAGGCAAGTGCAGCAGGTCTGTCCTATTTTACATCCACCAGACCAGTGGCCTCCTCTGCCCCTTGATAGCTTCGGGGCCTTAGGCAACCTACTTAACCCTTCCTGTGTGTGAAACGTGGATCAAAATATTACCAAGGCAGAACGTGGACTATTACTAAGTCTCCTTCACTCTCTCTAGCTCGCCAGAGGACTGTGACCCTGTCCTGGGAGGTCCAGCCATATTTTCTTCCAAGGTCAAGGGTGCTAATGCCCTCTGAGGCCCACTGCCAGCTCCATAGTCACCTATTTCCATCCCCACCCTCTTTCCTGCTCCACCGACTCAGGGGTGAATGGGGAGGTGGCAGGGATGTTCCTCAGCACCCACACCATGAACATACTTCTCATGAAGGCCTGTCAGTGCTCAGACAGATGTCTACATGCTTGGGATGGAGAAGGAGAACTTAAAACAGGGTGAGAGTAGCGTAAACCCGGAGATATCATTCTGCTGGCCTCTTTCTTCCTACCTGCTCTGCTGGAGAGGGAGGGGCTGGAGCACGCTGGCTTCAGGAGGGTGGAACCGAAAGGATTAAATGTGGAGGTTGGAGATTACAGTTGGGGGGAAGGAGGGGTGGAAAGGGAAGATGAAGGTGAACAGAAAAAGGAGAAGGGTCGAAGGGAAGAGGGTGAAAAGTAGAGGGAGAGGACAAATGGGATGGGGAGAAAGGAAGAGATAGGTCAGGGTAAGAAAGGGAATGAGATTGGGGAGAAAATAAACAGAGGGAGAAGAAAAAATGGGGCCAAAATGGAGGAAAATGAAGAGGGAAGGAGAAAAGGCAGAGAATCCAAGCATGGGAAGAACTGAGGAAAAAAGGGAATTAAAAAACGGGAGGGAGAGAAAGAGCGAGCGGGTGAGATGAGAGGACAGACTCCAGCCCTTGCAGAAGTGGCGCCGTCCGCTGCATATTTATGACCCTGCCGGAGAGCGAGTGAGGGGACCGGCGGGGGGGGAGTCCACGGTGGAGGAAAACATGAAGACGAAAAGCTAAGCTGCTCTGGTCCCTTGGCAGAAAGCAAGCACAGGGTCAGAATGTAAAGCGGGCAGGCTCCGCGGTGCCCAGAGAGCAGGCCTGGTGAGCGGGGGAGAAGGCACCCGCCTCGTCAGCTGGCCTGGCAGCTTGGCAGAGGCCTCCGTGGAGCAGAGTGGCTGCGGGCCTGCCGGGCCCTGCTGAGCATGCGTGGCTCCAGCCGCTGGGGCCGCTCAGCCCTGCCTGCTGAGGACTGGACGGGGAAGTGTGCACCCACCTCCAGCCGCTTCACTTGGGTCCTTTCGAACTCCAGGCGTGTCTCCAGCTCCCGGATCTTAGCTTCCTGCCTGCTCACCAGGGACCTGTCCACCATGGACTGCTCCAGGAACTCCACTTGGCTCTGGAGGGCTTGTAGCTGCGGGGTTGGGGGGGAGGGGCAGGAAGGGAAGAAAGAACTGAGCCTGGAAAGGGAAGGGGCAGGTTCTCTCTCTCCCCACCCCCCAGCAAGATCACCATGGTGACTAGAAGGCTGAGGGAGGGAGGGATGCACAGGGAGGTGGAAGGATGGGGCCCCGAGCCAGGGGCATTCCCCACCCGGCCCTGCGCGAGCACAGATTTTGCCCTTTGGAGAGAAAAGAGAAAGCTAAGGACCAGAGAGGGCATAGAAATGTGAAATGAGGCAGCTGAAGCCGAAACGTCTGCTATGGCGACACGGCTCCAAGCCTAGGCCTCTGCACTTGCTGACGCTGACTGATGGCAGAGAGAAGCACGTGCTTGCCTGTGAGCTTGGGAGTTGGTCCCCACACACAGTGACCCTGGCACCCTCTCTCTACCAAGGGAGACCCTGCTCCCCACCTTCTCCTGTAGCTCTTGCTTCTCTTTGTTGGCTTCTTCTAGCTGAGCTTGGAGATCATTCATCTGAGCCAGATCCCGGGAGGCCTGGGAAAGGAGAGGGTGCTGAAGCAGGATCCCCCATGAGCACCAAATCCATCCCACCCCACCCCTCACTGAGGCCAGGGCACACAGGCACCGTGACCCCCCCGAAGAAGAGGCTGTGCCAGGGACCTAGAGGAGGACCAGGGGACGGTGCTTCTGCAGGGTGCGGTGGGGCACTCCTGGGCAGGGTACCTGAGCCACGGCTGCCTTGTGCTTCTTCATCAGCTCATTCATGTCCTCCTGATCCTCCTCCAGCCGGCTCTGCATCTCATTCTTCTCACGCTGAAGGCGGCTCAGCTGCTCCTCCAGCTGGACAGAGGTGAAGACAGATCAGAGAGCATCAGGCCTGGCCTGCCTGATGGCCCTTGGTGGAAAGACTGAACCTCCCTAGGCCGCCTCCAATGGGACGGGGTGATGATAGGGCCAGGTCCACCCGCTGGAGGAGGTTCCAGGACCAGTGATGCTCAGGGAACTGCCTGTCCTGCTGTGGGCCAGGGAGCTGAGGGAAAAGGGCTGTCTCTGCAGCTCAGGCAGACCCTGGGCTAAATGACAGCTGCTTTCTGACAGCTCTTTGGAGGCTAATGAGAAGGCAGAAAAGGTCTGTCCAGAACCAAGGACCCATCATCCTAGCACTAGTGTTCAGGCCCTAACCTGTGCGCACTCGCACTCTGCCCCCTTCAGGCCCCAAGGAAGGACCCCTCAAATCTGTGAAACTCTCCTGGCATGTTTCTCCTGGGACTGCCTGCTCCCTGGCCATCCAGCGCCCACAGCCAAGTCCACTCCTGGCGGGGGGAGGAGAAGAGACAGCCAACAGCAGCTTCAGGAAATGAATGAATCTATTAGCCTGTAATTCCAAACGAAAATGACTGCATTGGCTCCTTCTCTGCCCCATCCATCTTGTTACCGGGACGTGCGGAGCTGCGGAAGACTCCGCCAAGAAATTTATTAACTCGGATTTAAATAAAATGGTAATTTTATAACAGCCCTTTTTAACACAATTAAGGAATTTGAATTACTCACCTGAAAACTGCTGAGGAGCATAAATGTCACGGGGATAAATCAAGCCCAGGAGACTGGCATCTCTCAGCAGTCAGGTGACTAGCTGGGGGGCCAGGGAGCCCAGAGCCAGGCCCAGCCTCCTCCCCTGCCCCATTCCCTGCCTGAGGAGGTACCGGTGGCCGTATCCCAGTAATGAGTTTTCGGCCGATGGACGGGCCGTGGGAGAGGTGGGGAATTAAAAGCAAGGCATTAAATAAGCGCTCTAATTATAGCTGCCGCTTGGGCTTGTCAGTGGGCTGGCCAGGGGCAGGCGAGGGAAACGGAGCCATCCCACCTTCTTATCGGCGCTTCTGCTAACCTCTAGGTGCCTGTTTACATCCCTCAGCCACATTTGCTGCCTTTATTTACGGTGTCGGGGCCTGTGGCCAAGTGCCCACAGACAGGTGGTTAAACAGGGAGATGGGCCCTTGCTGGCTCCCTCCTCCACCTCACCCCCTCCCAGGCCTCTGCTCTGAGTGGGGAGAGGCAGAGGAGGGGAGGAAAGCCGCAGAAAGCCCTGGCGTGAAGGGACCGGGCTGGGGAATGAGCCCTGTTTGGGGTAAAAGCAGCCACTGTCACAGCTCCATTCTCCCTCAGCACCCCCCGAATCTGGCCCGGCACACCCCGCATCCTCACCGCCGTCTTGGCTTTGGCGATGTCGTCAATCTGCAGGTGCAGGTCTTCGATCTCCACCTCCATTGCTTTGCGCGCTTTCACGGCTGCTGCACAGGTGAACTCTGACTCCTCCAGCTGGACAGAGAGCCACCCCCGCCCCAGGGAGAGACGTCAGCCATTCCCTGGGGGCAGGAGGGCTGTGCAGGAGGCTCGCAGGGGAGAGAGAACCCAGGAGCTCTCCTTCTCCCCTGTTTACTTCAGACCCCAGGGCTGTGATGTGTTGTGTGTGTACCGGCATCTCCTCCCATGACAGGGGTGGTGGACGCTGGGCCCGTCCATACCATCCGGGGCTTGACAGTCATGCATATAGCATGCGCAGACCCTGGGGAGTCTGGCTTCTCCCCACTTCCCTGTCACCTCCCTTCCCGAGGACTCAAGAACCACTGACAGGGGCAGGAGGGAGAGAGAGAAAGCTGATGACTTCCTGTCTGCAGGTACCTGGTTCTTCAGCTGGGCGATCTCCCTCTTGCTGGGCGCGCTGTTCTTCAGGTGGTCCAGCATGATCTGAGCATCTGCCAGCAGGGCCTTGGTGCGCTTCAGGTCTTTCCGGAGCCGCTTCTCTGACTCAAAGTCTCGCTGGTTCACCTGGGTGGACACCAGAAGCTGGGGCTCTGGGCTCTGCCCCGGGGCCTCCTCCTGTCTTCCCCAAGCCCACTCCTCACCCTACCCTCACTCTCGGAGATGCCTAATGAGCAATGACAGAGGAAGTGCCAGGATTATGCCCGCTGGTGAGAAACCCCAGGGTGCAGTGGATGTGATCACCCATCCCACAGGTGATGACAGCGGGCCCTACGGAACCAGCACCCCTCCTGTCCCCAGCTCTCCCTGCGGCAGCCAGCAGTCTCCACTCACCTGGTCACTGAGCGTGGCCACCTTGTTCTCCAGCTCCCGCTTTTCCCGCAGCACCTTCTGCTTGTCCTCATACTCCTCCTCGAGCTGTACTTCCATTTGCTTTAACTGGGAACAGGGGCCCATTCGTCCCTTCAGTGTCTGGTGCCAGCCAGCCCCTTCCCTGCTGGATCCTCCCACCCCGCGAAAAGAGTAGGGCGGCGCTGAGCATGGATGACCCCAGAGGGGCAGACCCTGAATTCGAAGTTCCTGGGGTTTCAAAGCGGCCTGGGAGGGAGAGGAGGGACGGCAGGCCATGCACAGGGGCCCAGGCCCGTGTGGGAGCCCTTGCTCCAGAGTCCTTGTGCCTGCTTCTTGGCACAGAAAGCAGGGGGCATTAACTCCTCAAGGGCCTGAGCTTCTCTACAGACCCTGAGAACACACATCCCAGCCAATGCCAGGATCCCGAGCGGAGATTCCTGGTCCTGAATAGCAATGGAAAATCGTGTGGCTAAGGTAAAGAAACAGAAAAGCCCTTACTTCAAAGCAGTGATGGGGGAACCGGCATTTATATTAGACAGGTAAGCGCCCATTGCTTTACCTTTTTCTGACACGACTGCCGGGCCTCCTCCACCTCCTCATCCCGACTCTCCATCTCCTTGGAATGGGTCTGCCTCATCCGCTCCATCTCCATCTCGAGCCGCAGCTTGGCCTGGAGGTGGGTGGGAGTAGGGACTGGGTTTCTTTCCCAGCAGCATCCTGACCCCTCCCCACTGCACCCTCATGGGCCGCTCTCCCCAGGCTTGGGAGCAGGGAACGTCTCCCTTTGCTCCCACCTTGTTTCTATGGCAAGTGGCTTCTCCAGAGAAGCTGAACTCCTTTCCTAGATGTCTGGCACAGGCCCAGAGAAGGCTGCTGGGGGTGGGGGCAGTCCTGCAGCTTTTCCACTTGGCCTCCAGGCTCTAGCTCCCTGAACTGACACGGTAGCTCAGTGGCAGGCTGGATGGGCTCATGGCCTTCCTGCTGCCATGCACTCTGAGCCCCTCACCAGTGGAGGTCAATTAAGATCTGTTCTTGTGGAAAGTACCATGAAAGCTTAATTATCTTCACACTGTGGTTGGCACGGATCAGGTGCTCCCTCAATACTTTGTGAATAAGAGAAGGAAAGATTGACTGAATTTGGGATCTTGTCCTCCTCTGGCCCACACCCCGGGGTAGCTGTGGGGACAGCAGTGCCTTCCTCAGCCAAGCCCTCAGCACCTGCTCCAGCATCTGGATGGTCCCCGCCTGCTCATCCAGCTCCTCCTCCTGATCCTTGACCTTGGCCTCCAGGTCTCGGAGCTGTTTCTTGACCTTGGCCAAAGAGGCCTCATCCTTGGACTCTTGGGAAGAAATGTCCTGGAGCTCAGCCTCCAATGACACAACCTTCTGGGTGAATCCCGCAATGTCCATGTCTTTCTCCTGGAGCAAAAGAGAAGATGAGGCTGGCCCTGGGCTGGCCCGAGCCTGTGACGGGGTTGGGGTATGGATGATGGGAAGCCCCACGCACCTCCATCTGCTGCTTCAGGCTGAAAGCCTCGGCGAGGAGCATGTCCTTCTCCCGCTGCAGCTTCTCCCGCTGCAGCTTCTCCCGCTGGGCCTCCTCATGCGCCTGCGAGAGCTCACTGTCAAACCTGCGAGGGAGCGTGGCCATGGCGGCTCCATCAGATAAGGGAAGAGTCCAGGTCTCCAGCACCCAGAGGCCGCCAGGAAGTGGTGCCACAGATATGGACAGGACCCAAGTCAGGGGGAATCATGCAGCCTGAACTTGGGGCCAGTGGTCAGGTGACATTCAGGGGTCCCAGGTCAGGCCACCTAGGCCCTGCTGAGCAACCTGGTCTGGGATGGGGTGGGTAGGGATTTCATCACACAGGTCCAAGGAGCCTTTTCACCAGATGGGCCTCAGAGGGAACCACAGACTGCTTCCAGGGAAGAGGTGGACAGACTCTCCTCTGGCATTAAGTCCCGACCTTTTCCCTTTCAACAGATCAAAGAATGGGAAGAGGGACCAGGGTGAGGGCAGAGCGGGCATCAGAATGGGTAGAAATGGATGTCCTGCCGTGTCTAACTCACTTTCTACAGTTCAGTCTGGCAACTTTAGATGGAGCAGCTGGCTGCTGCCCCACCTCTGAGCACCAGGCCCTGGCCAGGCCCACCTGCCCCAGCAGCACCCCTGTCACCCCCAGAACACCCCACACCAGGCTGGAGGCCCCAGTCCCACTGTGCCCGGCTGGCAGCATGCTTCAGCGGGCACACGGTCCACGGTCGGGGGCCTCTTTCTTCACTTCTCCACTTCCCAGCCTTCCATTTTCCTGCCCAGTGACGCTACAGAAGGAGCAAATTGCTGAAATTCCTCTTACCACCTTCACTGAAGAGCTAGTCGGGCTTCAGGTCAAAAACTGAACAGCTCATCCCCATCCCAACTCCACATCAAAAAAAAAGTAAGAAAACTCCGGGCAGCTGAAACCTAATAAGGTGCCCAGCGGGGAGTGCAGTGAGACGGTAACTAGGCCGAGCTGGCACTGTCAGGGGGGTGCTCTGAGCGGGGGCGGGGTGTCCCGCTAAGGGTGTCTGCCACTAAGTAAAAGGGAAGGTGGGGGTAAAGATGAGAACTAGGGAAGCAGAGAGTCACAGAGCTGGGAGGGAGAAATATAAGGCCTTCCTACCTCCCCCCACTCTCTGCAAAGCAGCAGCCTGGCAGGCCCGAGTGAGCCCAGGAGGCCGAGGGCAACCCTGTGTCACTGAAAGGACTCAGCCCTGCCGTCCTCACCCCCAGGGGCGTGGGTGTAGGGCTGCCCCTTCACAAAGGCAACTGGTGGCTCTGCTGAGAACCTGACCCCTGCAGCGGGGAACCGGGTGCCGTTCCCACCCCCTGGGGCACGCTGCTGTTCCCAGGGTGTGAGGGTTCCTCCCTGTTACTAACAGAGGCATCCCATTCCCATCCCCAGCCAGGGAAATTAATTCAGATTGGATTTTCTCCTGTGAGGGCTACACCTTCCCCCCTTTGTGTCATTACATTTACCATAATGAGATGGAAGTGGCACGATAGTTTAACGACATTAGTCAGGAGAGTGTGTTTGTGTAGCTAAGGCAAGGGAGAGATGGGGAGCCGGGCGAGGGCAAGAGGCAGGGCCGCCATGGAGAGGTTCCTGCATGGGCTCTGGCTGACACCCATCCTTCCTGGCCCCAGGCAGGGTGACAGCACATACTGAGGGGAGCATGTCCGAGAGTGAAGCCCTGAGCAGGCCGTCGGTGGGGCTGTGGTCTGCGTGCTCCTTAGGAGTGAGACTCTGACTCACATTCCAGGATGAGTGACCATGCAGGCAAAGCCGCTGGCCAAATTCAGGCCCCCTCTTCTCTCCTCCCCGGAGGGAGGCAGGGAATCCTGTCTCGGGCTGCTCTAGAAGTCCGCTGCGTCCAGGGCAGGGGACCCACCCACCTCCTCTGTTTCTTCTCCAGCTCGTGGTTGCGGACTTGCTGGCCCTCCAGGTGCAGCTTGGTGTCCTGCAGCTCGGCCGTCAGCCGCTGGCACTTCTTCTTGAGCTGCTGCAGGGCCCGCTGGCTCTCGTCACCATCTGCCTGCAGGTCTCCAAGCTAGGGGGCAAGATGGGGTGCAGGGCCAGCCGCCATTGAGAGGCCCAGAAGTATCAGTCCAAGAGGTGAGGCGAAGGAAGTGCGTGAATGAGGGGGAGATGTGGGGATGGGGGATGAAGTCAGGGTCGTCCAGGGAACCTAAGACACTCTTAACAATAGCTTGCCTTTGGTTGTCCCCCGAACCGAGAGGCGAACATGTCAACCCTTCCCCGTTGCTCCCAGGGCCTGCCTGGCTCCGGCCATTCCCTGGGCCAACACGTGGCGCCAAGCCCCTCCCAGCTTCTCCCAGCTCCTCCTAGGCACAGACCTCCGCTTCTTCCACCAGACTCACCCGCCTCTCCAGCTGCCTCTTGCTCTGCTGCTCCACCTCCAGCTTGTCCTCAAACTCCTGCTGGAGCCGCTTCTTGGTGAAGTCCACCTCCCGCACTGCTCGCTCATACTTTAGGCGCCACTCGCCACCTGTGGGGTGGGGGCAGACAAGGGAGGACCGAGCTGCTGAGAGTCCCTGAGAAGGGGCCGAGGGGACAAAGGATGGGGCAGCAGGTGGAGTCAGCTGGAGGGACTCAGAAAGGTCCCTGGAATGGTGGCTTCCTCCCAAGGCAGGAGGAGCCACTAGCTGGGAGAAGCCTAGAGAGGGTGATGTGGCCACGTGTGCTGTCTTCTCCCCAGGGACCGGCAGACCGTGGTCCTCAGACATCATCATTATCATGGCTGTTACCGCCCTCCACGACAATCGCCTGCACTTACTGGCACCTCTACTTTCTCATCAGTTTATTTCACGTAGCCTTAAAACAGCCCAACAGACAGGAGACAAGGGGTGTGGTTTCCTAGGGGTGGGCATCAGAGCTTGCCACTCAGGCCACTTCCAAGTCCTCCAGCCTCTGACCCACCTGTGTCATCCTCCTCCACTTCCCCGTTGATCTCAGCTGCCCGGATGAGACGGGCCTCCATCACTTCCATTTCCATCACCTCCGTTTTCTTCTTCAGTGCATCATACTGGGTCTGCAGAAGAAGAGGCTATGAGGTATGTCGATCCACCCCCTCGCGCAGTACCACCCGCGCCCCTGAACCACCGAGACCACAGTCATAAGCTTACCCGGGGCAGGCAGGGGTGCTGGGCTGGTGGCAGAGGTGCCACCTATCATTGGGGGAGCAGTGGGCACTAGAGTGCGACAGCCGCTAGCACGGTCCTGCCCTTACCTGCAGCTCCTTCATCTCCTTCTCAGCCCGGAGCCTCTCAGCGGTCTCCGCGTCCAGCAGCTGGGAGGCGGACTCTCCCGTGTTACGTTCATCCGTCAGCTCCGATGTCAGCTCTGAGATCTGTGGTTGGGGGAGGGAGTCGCCACCAGTTGAACTGCCTGCCTCACTCAGCTAGAACAGCAGTGGGGGGCCTCCTGGGCTGGGCGCCCTTCGGAGGTGGGCCGGTCTGTCTGGTGCTGGGAGGCACTCACCCGGGTCTCCAGCCGGTCACTGCTGAGCCGCAGCTCGTTCCGCTCCTTCTCCACCTTCTCAAGCTTGCTCCTCAGCTGCTGGATCTCTTCCTAGGGTGCAGTAAGGCGGGCAAAGTGAGCCAGAGGCACTGGGAGAGGTTGGGGCCCAGGAGCTGCACCCTTGGGGTGAATGAAGCTGGTGAAGCTCGGGCCGGGACACAAGGGCACTGGAAGCCACTGCCTCCCTGGGGCTCCATCCCTAGACCCTTCCCCATATGCTAAGGATGCTTGAGGTCTTATCCTAAGAGGATACCTAGGGGCTCAGCCAGCACCCCAGAGGGATGCCTTCTGTTTGCTGGGCATAGTTCAAGGATACCAGCTCTCTGGACTAAACAAAGGAGCACTTAGGAGCCCAAGAGAAGCTGGCAAAACTCTTGCCCACGTGGATCAACTACAGCCCTTCCCTCCCAGCAGCGTGGCCTTCCCAGGCTGTTACGTACGTCTTTGTTCCGGATCTGCTCCTCCGACAGTTGTACCTCAATGAGGGGTCGCACCGTGGTGAAGAGCTTCCACCAGGGCCAGTCCTTCACCCCTTTGTTCTTCTTGATGTTCTTCTGCACACAGCGAATGGCCAGGTCTTGGATCTAAGTTGGGGTGAGGCGTGGCACACAGCAGGCTCTCAGTCCTGAGCCCACCAGGACCCTCCCCACCACCAGCTCAGCTGTTGGGCTGCCCCTCTGGCCAACTGACCCCGAGTCAAACACTCCCTAAGCCACCCCTTGCCCCCAGCCTCCCTCCGTTCCTTAGAGAGTGGGGGGCAGACAGCCCGGCCCTGGGAGCACCGCACTGGGCGCTAACCGCTCCGCCATCATTAGGAATAACTTCGTCTGCTTTATTTGCTGCCTGATTATTTCCAGCACCCTGGCCTAGATGTGCTATAAAACCTAATCTTGCTGAAACACAAGAGTCGGCGGTACTGGCTGTTTTCTGGACTTGCTAATAAGAAAAGGAGTCGCTGACGCAGCTCCTTAATCTTCACGGAGCAGCCTATGATCCGGAGCCCACCTTTGCCCGGGCCCTGCTCCCCACCACCCTAGCCCTCGGACCAGGCCACACAACCCCATCGCTGGGTACACGAGCACTCTCGCTGGCACCGGGGAGCTGCCCATCCCCTGCCCTGGCCCAGGGCATGCTGCCCCTGGGATGTCCAGCCTCTTCTCCCCCAGGTAACGATAACTCATAGCCCCACGACCAGCCTCCTGGCCCGCACGTTCTCTCGAGTGTCCCTCCCCCACCCCAGGAACTCAGCTCTGCCCATCTAGGCTTAGGAGTGGGATGGGGATGTCCCTGGAGCAGCACCTTTTTCTTCTTGAAGTGCTGACGGGCCAGGTAGCCCCTGCAGGCTGCCTGGAACAGGGTCAGGTTCCTGCTGGTTTGTTCATCCCGCTGCTCCTCCAGCCGCGCCAGTGTGCCTGCCCGGAAGAACACCTGTGGAGAAGCAGGCCAGGTGAAGGTGGGAGCCTGGGCTGGGGGCAAGCCAGCGGAGGAACAAGCAGCTGGCACAGAAAGCCAGCAGGCCCAGAGCGTGGCCCTGGGCCTGGGAAGAGTCTGAAAGCCCCGGGGTCTAGGAGGAGGGAGGAAGCAAGAGGCTGAGGGAGGAGGGCCAGGCTGGGGGCTGGGGAGGCTTTGGAAGGGGAGGAGCAAGGTGGGAAAGAGATGAAAGGAGAGGGAGGCCGGAGGGAAGGTATCTGGGACAAGAAGGACGTGAAGCGGCGGCCGGTCAATATGGGGAGACGCCCCTCAGCAACACCTATGATGGCTTCTTCCCCCAGGGCTGCCAGCAGCACTGCCCACGCCCCTGTACCCACGGCCACTGCAGGCCCGCCACAGGCTCCAGCCGCCTCTGGCCTCCAGCTGCCTGCGATCAGGCGGATGGTGGTGCATGTGTTTAAGAAGGAAAAGGCCCAGGATGCAGTGCAGAGAAGGGGGAGGCCAGGGAGGGGGCCCCTCCTCTGCATCCTCCCAGCTCCGTTTCATGTCGGACTGTCTCCTCTTTCATGTGCCAACACCCTGCCCCCACACCCAGGTTTCATCTCGTGAAAGAGCCAGTGGAGTGGGTGAGGGTTGGCCCAGGCGAGGGACCTGTCACACGGGTTTGGGGGCTGGAGGGCAGGCGTGAGAGGGAACCAGCTGGATGTCCCCACACCCAGCCTTTCCTCTCACTCTTCAGTGCCCTGAGCTGGGACTGGGTAAAATGTTCTGTGCTAAGAGAAGAAGAAGAGGGGGAATCGTCAGGTGAAAAAAAGACTAGTATCCTTGCAGAGGGCAAAGGCCATCTAGGTATACACCACCTCCACCTTGCCCAGAAGACAGAAAATTCCCTTTTGTGGGGCAAAGAGAAGATGTGAACTCCACGGGAAACATTCAGAACCGATAGGCACGGTGTCCCCAGGCCTCGCTCCAGGGAAGAAGTGGGGAGAGAGCCCGCACTTGCTGCTGAGAAAGCTCTGCCTCTGGCAGGAACCTAGTCCCCCGAGGCTGGCCTGGGAGAAAGCCAGCTCAGTCCTCTGCAACACGCGGGGCTGAGCACCTGGGATCTCCCGTGGGTCTCGAGCCCTACCTGAGCCTCCGTTTCCCACGATGCGTGAGCGTGAGATTCCACAGGGGGTGTGAGAGACCCAAGTCCCCCGAGAGGGTGGGCCAACATGCCAGTGGTCAGTCTGACTAGGCAGACGTGAGGTGTCAGGGAGGGGGATGGAGAAAGGCCCAGAAATACACTGAGAAGCGAAAGGATGGTCTGGAGTCTAGAGCAGTGAGCCTCAAACCTCTCTTAACCGCTGTACATTTGTGGGGTTGAGTCTTTTTGAGTATTAGGTGACATCTCAGGGCCATCTCTCCCCGTGAAACACACCTATCCATACACGTTTTACAAACATCAGGAAGCTCTCAGACACCCAAACTTCCCTGCCTGAACCCTCAAGGTCCTGTGGGCTCAGGTGGAGACTCCCTTTCCTCTGAAGCAACGGGACAAACACACAGGGAATCCTCACTCACCAGCCAGTACCAACCACAGCCCAGAAGCCCTGAAACTTCTCTCCCAAACCAGATGTCAGCAAACATCTGACTTTGCCCCTAATTCTGCTCTGAGCGTGAGTGGGCCCTGGGGTTCTCCTGGTTCAGCCAGGCACCTGGGATGATGCAGAGAGTCGGAGAGGGCAGCTGGGAAGAGGACCAGTCTGTACAGGCCTTCTTCTACCCAAGACATACCTTGGAGGAGGTGCCAGCCCCAAGGCCAGCCAGCAGCGGCTCAGCCTGCCAGAGTTGACAGGAGCCCACCCAGGGAGAGAGCAAGAGGCTGCAGTGAAAAATCTGACTGCAGGCCTCCCAGGGAGGAAGCTCAGCTGGCCACTCCTGAGCTTAGAGACAGGTGGGGAGGAGGAGAGCAAGAAGGTGAGCCAGACAACGGCAGAGACCAAAACCAGAAAGATGACACGGAAAGAGGCTGGGACCACAGAAGGCACAGAGGACAAGGAAAGAAGCAGAAAATAACAGATCTGAAACCAAGGAATAGAGACCAACAGGGACAGCCACGGCCCAAAGGAAGAGGATAAACCAGGGACAGCACAGACAAAGACAGAGGCAGGGGACAGGAAACGGATCCCCAGTGAGGGAGGGGGCAGAGGAACCAAAACCATGACTCAGAAGGCAAAGCAGGGAGAACAGAGCTGACAAGCAATACGCAAGGCTTTTTTGCGAGCACCCCCTTCCACCTCATACTCCCACGCGTTCCTTCCCTCTCTGCTGACAGACAGACAGTCCAGAACCCTCCCGGTGGCTCCCAACTGCTCTCCGTCCTACCTTGGCCCTTGAAGCACAAACGTGGATGCCACCTGTCAAGCCTCCCAGTCTCGGGAGACAGGGGTGTCCAGGCTCCCTGCCCCGCAGGAGGGACGCTCGGCGGGCCCTCTGGTATGGAGCGACGCGGCAGACTGGCACCTGGGGCCGGGTGCGCCTGCCTTTTATGCACGACGTTCCATTCAGGTGAGGAATTCGGCCTGTTGGACGGGTGGTGGCGGCACAGCCTCACCAAGCCCTGCTTGCTCTCTGGGACCCTGGCAGCCCCAGACGACTCACCCAAGGAGGCTCTGCCTTCCCGCCTCTCCCAGCTCTCCCTTCCGTCTTCCCCATTCCCCACACCAGGACTCAGGCCAATTCTGGGCCACCTTCTGACCCACTCCCTCCTGACATCACAGAGGTGTTCCGTGCACTGAACAAGCCAGTTATTCAGAGGGAGGGAGAGTCAAGTTTGCTGCAGCTGGAGTATTTTACTTCCTGGCCCCCAGCTCTGAAGGGGGCAGCTTGAGAGGAAGGACAGCCCCAGAGTGGCTGGGGGGGAAGGGGGCTGGCGGGGGCAAGACCCAGCAGGGGCCCCAGGAGACTCCTGAAGTTGGACTGAGCAGGGAGAGCAGGAGGGGAGGGGCAGCCATGTGGACAAGTGTGACCAGAGCGTGAGAGCGGCTGCCTTCCTGTAGGGACAACTCACCCGGCTCAGGCCCATGCAGCAGCTGCTCTGCTCCAGGTCCAAGGACTCCAGCAGCTCCTCCACCGCCTACAGAGAGATGCCTCTGTCAGGGAGCCCACCCGGGGACTCCCCGCCTCCACGCAGGGCTTCTCCCAGTCACTCAGCCCTTCCCGTCCTCCGTTCGGTCCGCTATTTATTCAGCGAGCACTTTCGGTGGCTTCTGCAGCGTCAGGCCCCTTGCTGGATTCCGGGGATATAAAGATGACTGCAAGAGGAACACGCTATCTTGTTGGGGAGCGAGACAAGAAAATTGGTGAAGTACACAGAGGAGGAGGCATCTAAGCCAGACAAGGGAGCTGTGGAAGGCACTCGGAGGAGGTGTTGCTTGTGCCGTCTTTAGATACAAGTAAGAATTAGCCAAAGTAGGGGTGAGGGCATTTCAGGCAGAGGTACTAGCATGCGCAAAGGCCTGAAAGCATAAGACAGCAGGGAGCACCGAGGAAACTCCGAGTAGTTCAGTATAACTGGAGGGTGGGGCGGGCAGCAGTTAAGGGGCAAGTAGATAGGTGCGCAGGGGCCAAAGGACGTGAGCCTGTGTGCTCCGAGAGCCCCTGGAGGGTTCTCTCGGGGAGGGGCATGGTCAGATTTGCTCTTGATAGAAATCCCACCGGCACGTGAGTGGAGGATGCATGGACCCCTTAGGCAGGAATCCATAGGAGAGAAGGCTAGAGCCTGACCCAAAGGGAGGAGAGGAGGGGGAGATGCGAGAGACCTTAAGGAGATGAAGCCTTGCCCGATGTGGGGGAGGGTTAGACGAGAGGGAGGAAGCTAGGGACACATGGAGGTTTCTGACTTGTGTAGTAATTAGTTAGTGGTGCCATTCTCCAAGGTGGGCAATACAAGAGAAAGAGTAGGTTTGGGAGGAGATATAATCAGTTTGGTGTGAGCGTGCTGAGTTTGAGGTACTATAAAGGCGTACAGGTAGAGCAGCCCAGAAAGCAGCTAGATAGAAATGCACGTCTGGCGTGGGAGAGAGGCCTGGGCTAGAGGCATTGATCTGGGAGTCATCAATATATATGAGGTAATTGAAGTGATGGGCATGAATGAGGTTGCCCAGGAAGAGGGTGTAGAATAGAAAACAGATAATGGCCAAGGAGGGAGTCTTAAAGAAGAGAGAGACCTTTACTTCAGGGGGGTGTGAAAGAAGGGAAGCTTAGAGGGACCGAGAAAGAAAGAACAGAGAGACAAGGGGAAAACCAGGAGTGGCATCAAAGAAGCTGAGCAGAGAATGTTTCAAAAAGAACAGAGCTGTCAACAGTCACATGTTGGCAAGAAGCACAGAAAAGTGCCCATTAGCTCTGGCAACATGGAGGGCTCGGGAGGACAAGACCAGTCCCAGGTGTCAGGGGTGGCAACCAGGCAGCTACCGGTGGAGGAATGAATGGCAGCGGAGCAAGGGCAGCAAGAGGAGACTAAGTGTCGATGGTGCAGGGCACGAGGGAGGGTTGATGGAAGGCTCCTTTCTGAACGTAACGTCTGTGGAACGTTTCTCCACTGAGAGAAGAGCCGGCAGAGAAGGAGAGGCCGGAGGAACAGGAGAGAGAGAAGACGTATCGCTGATGGAGCAGGTCTCCAGAGAGGCCAAAGGGAATTGGTTCCAAAGCACGGGAAGAAGGGACTGGACAAGGGGAGGGAGGATACCTCTCCCACCCAGACAGGAGGGCTGGGGAAGAAGGAGGCACCTGGAGAGGAGTGTACAAAGGCAGGAGGAAGTTGGAGCCTCGATTTTATCAGAGTTTGGAGGCAAGGTCCACTGCTGGGAAGGTGCAGTGGGGGAGGATTTGAGGAGAAAGACGGAGAATGGAATAGCAGAGAAGGAGCTCGGAACAGGGGCCAGGTAAGGATGGAGCACGTGGAAAATGGGGCCCAAGGGTCCAGTGAGCCTGGAGACCATGAACCTATAGGAATTCAAGTCCCTGCAGTTGTATAAATTTCTCCCACAGCCCTTTGGGAGCCCCAAGCCAAGGAGAGCAGATGTCCAAAGGCGGCCCTTCAGGGCTGGGATTGAGCAGGGAAGGTGCTATGGGAGGCTCAGGAGAGCTGAGCGTGAGGAAGGCCGAGTGACCGGAGGGCTGGACCATGGCGTCAAGACTGAGAGGAAAAGGAAGTGAAGTCAGAAGGGAATGGACAGAGCAGAGAAAATGGAGTGGGGTCCAGAAATGAGCGGTGATGATGGAGTCATAGAGCCGGTGTCCTGAGGAAGAAAGGGGTCAGATGCACAGGTAGGAGGCTGTGGTGAGAGATTTCAGGAGCGGAGAATTTCCAGGGATGATGAGGTGCTGGGTGTAGCCATGAGGGGGAGGCGGGAATGGAGGTCAAGGGTGAGAGAGAAGGGGGTGTGGGTGGGTCATCTATAGCCACACCAAGGTCACCCTGCACACTGGCAGGTCCTGGATGGAGAGGGTAGGGAGAAGGTCTTTGAGGCCTCCATCAGTGTGGGTCTGTGACTCGGGGGGCAGCAGGAGGCAGGGGGCTTCCTGCCCTGTCCTGCACAGCATTCTCTCTTTGAGGAGAGCCGTCCTAAGGCCTGAGACGCCTTCTGAGTCAGGCTGAGTGCCTGAGGCCAGAGCACAGTGCAGGAGGGTTCCTCGGCTCAAGGAGCCCTTTGGCTCTCTGAGGAGTTGCCTCTGGGGATCAAGGTGACAGCCGAGAACGGCAGGGAGACATCCCTTCACACAGCCAGAAATTCACCAACCTGGCTGACAAGGGGCCTGCCCTGGGAGCCTTAGGCTCACCCTGGCACCAGGAAGGTGTTGCCACATCAATCTTCCTCCAAGGAGGGATGCCTGCCCCTCTCCTGGACAGCTTTCTGCTGAAGGAACTAGGCCCTGGTGTGGAGGTCAAGGCTGAGGGGCCCGGGTGCTACCAGTGGGGCACCCAAAACACTACTTCTAATCTGCCACCCGGGAGGCTCTTGGGTGATTGTCTGGCTCACCGGAGAGCAGACACCCTCAGCTCGGGCCTTTAAAGCGGGTGGCTCTCCTGTGATTCCTACAGTCCGTCCGTGCCCCGGGCTGCCTTCCCCCCACCGCCATAGCCTGGCTGCCATGTGGCCCTGGCCTGGCCCTGGTTGGGCAAAACCAGGCACCTGACCCAGGGCCAGCCTGGCTCTCTCTAGGGGAGGAAGGGCAGCTGCCTGGAGGGGTCTGAGCAGAGGGAGGAGGGTCTGGCGGGGCCGTGGGGACCCAGACCTACCCGCTTTTCATCCACCACAATGTAGTTGCGCCCGTGTTTCTTGGTCAGGTGCGGGGCCAGGACGTCGAAGCGGCGGCGGAACTCAGAAAACACCATGTGGTCAGGGTAACCTAGGGAGAGAGCGGCCCGGAGCCAGGCCCGTCAGCCTCGCCTGCTCCCAGAGCCCCCAACAACCACCGGTGCCCAGGCAGAGTCACCTGAAAGGGAAGAGACTGCGGGGGGAGGAGAGCCCGCGGTCGAGGTCGCCCCGGGAAAGGAGAGTAGAGAGGAAGGAGGCAGGGGCGACGGACAGGAGGCGGGAGGACAACCAGGCTGCCCCACGCTGGGACTGCGGGGATTAAACAGGGAACAGGTTCTTTTAGAAGGAAGCAACTTCCTTGTCAGTGAGGATGCAAATGGGGGACGGCTGACCACCTGGAAGGAATGCTGTGGAGGTAAGAGCCTGGATGACCCCTAAGATGCTTTCTAGCCTCCAGGTCTATGACTCCGTGATAACCCAGAGAAGGATGTCTTGAGGACTTAATAAGAAAAAAAAAAAAAAAAAAAAAAAAAGAAAATAGGGCATCGGAGAATAGCAGAGAGGAGAAGTGCAAGGGCTTAGGGTTGGAATCCTGCCCTGGTTCTTGCTATCATGTGACCTTGGACCAGTCACTCAACCTCTCTGAGTCTCGGTTTCCTCATCCGTAAATGGGGGCCCTAGCACTTACCCCACATGGTAGTCATGGTGCTTAAATGGGAAAATGTGTAGAAAGCACAGGTTGGCTCACTTGGTGGGTGTTCAGAAAGGGCTCCCTTCCTGCCACCTTCCTGACCTTGGGCCCTAGGCCCAAGGTGACCAAAAAGGCTTGTAGCTTCCCTTTCCCTAAAGAGTGTTTCCTCTAACAGAGATTCCCTACTGTCTGGGCTTGAGGCTGGGGCAAGGTCAGGATTGTGGCTAGCGAGAGGTTACCCTGAGGCACCCCGAGGACACCAGAGCCCACGGCAGTGGACCAAGAGACCCACTCCTATGGAATCACAAGAATTTCAAGCCAAAAAGAGGTCTTAGACCGGATATAACTCAGCCTCCAGACGTGGAAACTGAGGCCTGAGAGGGGGAGTGACTGGCTTGCTCAGGGTCACAAAGCCTGCGGCTGGAGGCAGAGCTGGACTCCAAACCCAGGCTCCTGACAGCCCGTCGGGGGCTCGCTCCACCTCAGCGGCCTAGCTGGCTCTGGGAAGCCCTCCAACTGCGAGATGGGGCTGACGCATGTGCCTGATGATTGAAACAGGAGGCGGGGGCCACCGAGGGGCCAAGACAAAGTGAGCTGTTGATTGTGTCTGAATTGCAATTAAATTGACGGGCCGGGATAGCAGGTCCGGACGCCTGGCATCTTAATTAATCATCACCCCATCGATGGGGGCTGGGGGCTGGGGGCTGGGGGAGGAGAGGGCGCCTGCTGCGCCTGGCCTCATCGATCTGCTTGTCTGAGTAAAGCACACTGATTTTGGTTCAGAGCGGTAACAATCTGGTTTTGAAATACTAAACAGCAACTCCTTACCAAGACGTGGGGACAGATCGATGATTTATTTAGAGCAGGGCTGGGAGCCCGTTTCCTGGCTTTGGCTGCTAAGGAAGTGACGGTGCCCCTGTGGAATGCCTCAAGGGGACCTGGCTGTGGGTCGGTGGGAGCCTGCATGCTCTTCTAGCTAAGGGAGAAAAGGGCGGGAAACCTGGCAATTCATAACTTTTCAGGCAAACGAAACCCTACTCAGAAACTGGTCTGTTTCGGTCAAATCCTGCTCTGCCACTCACGCGCTGTGTGACCTTGGGCAAGCTACTTAACCTCTCTGAGCCTCAGTCACCTCATCTGGGGATGATACTAGTACCTACATCTCATGAAGTTGTTGGGAGAATTAAATGAGTTACTGTGTGGGACGAGTTTAGAATAGTGTCTGGTATACTGTAAATGCTCTAAGGATGTTAACTACTATTGTTATCGTCCTGTCTGGCCCCTCGTCCAGATGGGTCCATAAAAAGGGTCTGTCTGACCTTTCTTGGGAATTCTAAGTTCTTCAGAAAGATTTAACACTTCATTTCTCATTGCAGGGCTGGCCCACTCTCAGAGGCAGTTGCTCCACAAGGACACTGAGTCTGCTGCTGTGGGCAGAGCTGACCTGTCCAAACCAGGGAAGGCGGAAGGAGGGAGCTGTGGGAACAGGGCATGTGGGCTGGGCAGGGGAGGGGATGAGGAGGGCTGGAATGTGGAAGGAAGAGGATGGTCAGCAGGCTGGCAAGAAAAAGAGAAAGGAACAGACTGGGCTGGAGAGATGCAAGGAGAGACCGACCCCCAGAGGAGGTAGCAGCAGAGATGAGGGATCTAGGGCCAGTCGGAGGTGGGGGGGAGCAGCACCCCTCCAGCCCCACAGGCCCTGTTAGGGAGGTGGGGAGGGGCAGGGGCAGCTCTAGGAGGGAGAGGTAGGAGTTGAGAAGGAAGGGGCCCCACCTTGGCGGTACATGCGCACGGCATCAAGCAGGCGGGAGCCTCGAAGCTGGGCGCGGAGCAGGGGCACGTCCAGCTGCAGGAGCCCGGCCTCGCACTGGTCTCCCGGGGGCAGGTCCAGCTCACTGCTACAGCTGACTCTGCGGGAGTGGGCAGAACGGGGCTCCCCCGCCCAGCCCTCTGCCACAGGCAGGAAGCAATGCACGAAATGCAGCTTTGACTTCTTGATGGTGTCAATGAGGGCGTCCTGCCAAAGGGGAAGGGACAGCCTTCAGTGGGCTCTGACAGCCCGAGCCAAGAGACCAGGGACCGGCGCCAGCGTCTCCCCTCTGTGCAGGATGGCAGGTGTCCCACCCCCGGCTGGGCAGGACGTGCTAAGCCTGGACAACCCTGCCCGTACTAGGCCCGGGGGGCCACGCACAGCGGGTAGCACTGCAAGAGGACCCCACCAGCAGCAATCAAGGTGAGTGGGCTGCTGAGTGAGCTCTGGGGGCCTGAGTGTGCCCAGAAGGCCCCGGCCCCCTGCCAGCGGTCAGGAAGTGCCCCGGGGCCCGCACTGGCACACTTACCACCTGCAGCCTAATCTGGATGCACAGGGACTTCTTCTTGACGGCCGCCATCCCTGTGGTGAAGGTCTTCCGCATGCTGGTGGCCCGGCGCAGCGCCAACTGCGAGCCGCCCTCCAGGCCCGCAATGGAGCCTGAGAGCACCGTGGCGCTGCCCGCCCGGCCCAGAAACAGGTTGCTGATGATTTTTCTGCCAGAGGAGGAAAAGGAGGGAAAGAAGTCATATTCAGGCAGCAGTAGAGGCCGTTCCTCTTCCCAGCTCCTAGGTCACCGTGGCCGGGGGCCTGGGTTATCTGGGCTGGGGCTGCACGTCTCACGCCCGACAGAGACACTACAGAGAAACCCTCAAACAGCAGGAAGAGAAAACCGGGGTGGGTGGACGGAGTGCTGTTCTTACTTCTGGGAGTCCTGCAGGAGCCGGGGGGCGTTCTGGGCGGCCGGGTTCTGCTTGGTGTAGCTCAGCCAGCCGGCCGTGTTGTACTCCACCCAGTTGGTGCCATGGCTGTGGCCCAGGAGAAAATGGTGTGGTTTGCTGCTGTGCAGGAGGGGGCTTTGGCCTGAGGGCGGGGCAAGCAAGGTTCAGGTCATCAGGGCACAGGTCCCCCAAAAGCCCATGGATTCAGTGAGCCCCCCAGGCAGTGCCGACTGGACCCATATATACATAAATGGGTTCTCAGGAGAGGAAGCAGAGGAGCCGCCCTCCAGGGTTGCCACCTACCTTTTCGGTCACCTTCCTGGGGGCCATAGTAGGAGAATAGGCGCTCCAGGAGGGCGTCCTCAGTGGCCCCTGGCACCAGCACCTCCTCTTCCAACAACCATAGCAGGCCCTTCGCCTCATCCGTGTGGGCCAGCGAGCGAACCTATGCAGAAGGAAAGAAATCCCGCAGTGTCACATGGAGCTGTGTGAAGGGGGCTAGGACCTGTGGTCCCGACCGCACACCATAAACATGCTACACAGATACACATGCTACAGCTCCTGCCACTCATGGCTGACATTCTGTGGAGCAGGTGGCCAGCAAGGAGAAAGAAGGGCCAGCAAGAGATCAGAGAGAGAAGCCCACAGCACAATATGACTCCTAGGACCCGTGTCCTAAGTCCCCAAAGACTGAAGGCTTCTTATTGACGCAAGCTCACATCCAGAGCCTCTCCTCCATCCTCAACCCCTTGGAGATCAGGGGGGCTTGGGTGAGCCCCGCGTTGCCCTCACTCTCTGGGCATCACCTCCCACGCAGATTAAAGGAGATGAGGTCTTTAAGGCCCTGAGCACAGGGCATGGCCCAAAGGAAGCTGTCAACAAGAGACAGCGGTGATTAATCCTGGTTCCCCGCCCGAGAGGGGAGAACCCAGAGAGGGCTCGGAGCACTGCAGGTGGGGTCACTACAGGGTCATAAACTCAAGTGCCAAAAGCCTAAGACAGTTGACTTAATGGCTGTGGCAGCCAAAATGGGCAGAGCTGGGGTGCCTGGAGAGCAGGTGTCCCCATCTAAAGGGAACAGCCACCACTCAGGAGCAGCCAACTGCTGTCCTGGAAGAACGGTGGCCTAGTGTTGGCAAATCCTCCAGCTTTTCAAGAGAAGGCGGAAATACTGAATTCTGATTTCTAATTCCCCATGCAAGCCAAACAACCAAGTGTGAAGGTGCCTTTTTTGTGGAATTCCCGGGTCTTCCTTGGGCAAGGAGGACTCTGGCCTGGCCTCTAGGGACTGGGGACAAGAGAAGTAAGAGAAGTGCCCTTTTCCCTCTTTGACCCAAGCTGCCCAAGGGAGTCTGTGTGCTGACCAGGAGGACACAGAAGGTGGCCGAGGACCGATGGGCAACTAAGGCCCCCGAGCAGCTGGAGCTGTATGGCAGGAATGAGCAAGAAGCCACTGGATGGTGAGTGGCAGGCTGGGCACTGAGGGGCTCCCGTGCCCAGAGGTGGAGCTGCCCGATGCCAAGGCCCATCAGAAAGGGGGGAGCAAAGGAGGGAAGGGATGGCCAAGCCCCATTCAAACACACTATCTGACCCACCGCTGCTCCTAAGCCAGCCGGGTCAACTTGCCCACACCTCCTGGGAATGGCAAAGGCTCTTGAGGGAGGCCTTGGCAGGGGCCTAGGTGTCAGGAAGAAAACCCAGCTTCCCTGGGGAGTTGTGGGACTTGGGCACTTGAAGCACTTGTCCCGGGGGACGCTCGCTCTCCTGGGGCCCCACTCCCTGGGCCAGGGCCTTCCCGCAGGGAGGCAGGAGAGAGAGGTGGGACTCAAAGCAGAGGAGGGAGATCAGCAGCCTGGCAAAAATGCCAATTCTCCAATAAAGCGCCTTATGCAGCTTCCCTAATTGAAGACAATGGCCAAATGCCAAGCGCTCACCAGGCAGCCAGTCCCCCAGGCAGCAAGGTGCCCAAGACGCTTGCCCAAAGGGTGACAAGGCCCGTCCCCAGACTGAGCGGCGAGGACTCACACCCACACAGCCCCTCAGTGGGCATTTTATATCTGGGTACTGTTTCTGCGTTTGGGTGAATGCCACCTCCTCGCCCTGCTCTGCTAGGCTGCACCGGTCCTCCGCTTGGGGACAATGGGAGGGGGTGACTGTGTCCTCTGGGTCCAGCCAGGCCCTCACCACTGAGGAGGTGGTAACAGGGCTCCTGGCAGACACACTGGAGGCACGGCTGGGACAGGGCCTGAGCTCAGACACCCGTGGGTGGTGCTCCCCACTGCACCAGGGCAGAAGGAAGTGCCACCTTCCCGGCCAGACTGGCTGACAGCTGAGGGAAAGGGCGCACAGCTCGAAAGCGCTTGGTGTCTGGGCCTGACTGCTGGGCCCCCCAGCCCATAGTGTCCCCATGCAGCAGCAGCTCATATGGGGAGGGCTCTACCAAGGGAGAGGAATGGGAAGGGCAAGAAAAGGCCAGCCCAGGCCCTCCCTGGAATTCCTACCAGGGACTGATGGGAGGCCTGGTCCACGGCGGCCACAGAGTCACCTGTGGCTGGCTCCAAGTCATCAAACGCCAGCTCGATGTTCTCCTAGGAAGGAAGGTGGGGAGGTAGTGAGCACGGGGCCGTGTGTGGGGTGCAGCCCTAGGAGCAGGCCAGGTGGGGGACGCTGGGGTCAGCAAGTCCAATGTCCCATCCGAGCAGGAGCTCCCCTCCAACAGCCCGACTGACAGATGCTCACCACCTCTCAAGGCACCGCATTGTGTCCTGGGACAGCTAACCTTCTCCTAACCTCCTCATACAGCGAGCTAAAGTCACGCACGCACTCCTGTCACTCCCACCTGCTGGTTAGGCTGCGTGGGGTTAGCCCACTCTCGATTTCACACACTCATCCTTGAAATACTTGAAGACAACTGTCATTTTCCTCCTGAATCTTCTCTCACCCAAGAGAAATATTCTCCCCAGCTCGTTCAACTCACCTCCACTTGAGGTAGGATTTCCAGATCCATCCGGGACACCCTTTTATGGGGGCAGGGGGGCTAAATAATCAGTCACCATACCAACAGCTCAGGAGACAGGGAAGGCCAGGCCCGACACACGTGGAGGCAGGAACTGCACGGTGGCAGTTCACGGGGCCTAGGCAGGTGCCTTGAAGGTGGGCAAAGAGGGGCTCCCAGGGACCCTGAATGCATCTTCAGCTTCTTGGAGAGCAAACTCTCCATAAAGAAAGAACGTAGCCTGGGCAGGAAAAGCGTCCTGCTCCAGAGACCACAGCGGGACATAAATGTCAGAGGGTAAAGGGCTGGGAAGGGAGCAGCCAGCAGGGAAGGGGGTACCTTGCTGCATCCACAGATGCCTCCCCCCCACACTGAGGGTGCCAAGGCCAGGAGGTGAGCCTGGGGGTGTTAGGCGGCAGGGGCAAGGTCAAGTGCTACCTCCTTGTATCTTTCCAACTCCTGCACAAAGGTGCGCTCGTGGAAGAGCCTCTGCAGCCGGTCCTGGGTGTAGTTGTGGCACAGCTCCTCAAAGGAGGCCCCGCGGGCCGACCCACCCTGCTCAGGGTTCTGGAAGCCGGGAGTGTCCACAATCATCATAGAGCAGAGTGAGTGCTGGCTGGACTTGAGAGCCCTTCACAGGGAGAGCCTGGGTCAGAGCTGCCCAGGGCAGTGCCCCCGGTGCCCAGGTAGCTCACCCTGCCCCCATCCCCATCCCCACCCAGGTGCCCAGGACCCGTGGGGAGGACTTGCCTCTCCTGCCTGCAGGGACAGTGAGCCCTCTGCTGGTGGAGGATGGCTCTGCCTCAGCAATCACACAAGCCCAAAGGCATCACCCCCACCTTTGTCAAGGCAGCAAGATGAGAGCTCCTAGGCCCTGCCTGGCACTCACCTGTTCACCAGGGAGATGAGAAGCGTGAAGAGCTCGCTGTAGAGGCCGGACGCCATGCCCTCCAAGCACTCCAGTGCACTCAGTTTGGGGCCTGTGGGCAGGAGGGTCAGTTCTATCTCCAGGTCCCTGGGACTCCCCACCTGGGTGTGCTCCCTACCCACCCAGGCCAAGGCAGCATGGGGCCCTGGGGCTGGGCCTCCCCCCCTAATGGGAGCATCTATTCACCCCAGGAGTTTGCCCACCCGAGAGATGGCAACGAGCCCAGGAAGAGGCCTCCAATCACATCCAGCAGCCAAGGGGCTCGGGTACCTGTGCCGTCTCCCAGGCTGCTCTCCTCGGGGCCCTGGCGGAAGGAGGTGGAGCGCTGCAGGGTGCCGCCCTGGTGCTGGTGCTTGAAGATGGCCGAGGAGAGCTCTTCCAGGCTGCAGCCCAGCAGGTACGCGGCCTTCTGGGCCCACTCGTGGCGGGCAAACTGCCTGCGCCCAGCTATGGGGTAGAAAAAAGGACCTGACGTCGTGGGTCTTCCTCCTTAGACTGTCTGCTGACCACTGTGCCCTTCAGCTCCTTTGCGCCCATAGCACTAGGGAGCAGGCATCTTCCAGAGGGAAAAAAAACGAGCCCTGATGACACCAGCAGGGCTTCAGGCAAACCAGGGAGAGCCAGCAGCTGCCAGCACTTCCTGTGTCCCTTGGGGTGGGAGAGAATGAGCAGGTCCTAAAAGAGGAGGTAACTCCACACTGCGGCCACCAGGGGGCTCCCAATCAGCCGCAAAAACCCCTTTAGAGGGCTTGGCTCCAGGCGCCAACGCGGGGAAGGACAGAGCACGAGCCAGCCCACCTAGGATGAACACAGAACTGCCTGTGCCTGGTGGCGGAGTATCAGGAGAGCACTGGTGTCTCCCCCTTCCTTGAACGCATTAGGACCCTCCCGAATGCGTCCGCCAGGGGAGACCGCAAACATCCACTGTGGCCCAACAGTGGAGAGGCGAGGAAAAACTGCAGGGGAGAGGGAACAGCCCACGCGGGCAGACGCGCCTCAGCCGACACGTGTCTAATCGCGGCCATTAGGGAAAGCTAACAAGAAACAAGGTTTTACCTTCGGCAGCTTCTGTAAGGCAAAGGACCAGCATGCAGCATGCAAAGAAAAACAGCATGTTAGCAAACAGTCATCAGCTGAGCCTGCCAGGCCCAGTGGAAGGGCCCGTGGGGGTGGGGCTCTGGGAAGATGAGCAGGAGAGAAAACACAACCCCATTCAGACTCAGAAACACAGAAACACACACGCGCGCCCGCACACACTCACAGCCTCAAAGGAGTATGTTTATGGATGTGATCACACTGACACACAAGGGAAGAGACCTGCAAAGACTTTCTATCACACACACATGTGCACACACCCCCCCCCCCCCACCCCAGAAAATACTGGAAGCTCTGAGGAGGTAACAGACACTGCTCAACAAGGTCCATGTACTGACGCACCCAGAGCTCTCCACCTGCAGTCAGCGCTGAGTAGGGTTACAGGAAACCTGCACTGTTACCTCCTTGGAGTGAAAGAACTTCCTCAAGACACAGCCACACAGCCACCCACCTGCCCACCTACAAGTGTGGAGACAACTTCTTTAACTCAGAGTCTGCTTCCTCTTTGGCAGGGATGTAACCTGCTGGGATCATAAGGAACCTAACACCCAGACTCATGTTCCTCCATGCACCCACCCACCCTCCCACCCACCAGCGCTTCCTCACTCCTGCTGACAGCCTGGGGCCCTTCACATCCCAGAGGAAGATGAAGCCAATGCCCAAGGTGCTGTTCAGAAGCAGCATCCCTTTCCCTAAACCGGAGGAGAAAGGGGTGAAGAGGAGCTCCGAGCACCTGACCATCAATGGAATCTCAGAGGAAGGCAAAGGAGCTCTTCCAAGCCAGACCAAGCTCCAGCCCTTCACAAGACCCCAAGCACTGATGCTGAAGCTGCAGCCCATTCAACATCACGGTGCCTGCTGCCCCCTAGTGGCCTCTACCCTGACATGCAAGAGGAAGAGGCACCTACTACCAAACCAGTGGAGAGAGGGGAAGATTGAGGGAAAACTGGCCTTGGGAAGCCCCAGGAAGCAACACACCCTTCCCTACATAAGCCCCATGGAGGGCATCCTGAGAGATTCCCGGATCTGAATGCAAAACAGGTAGAAGCAGCTATTCCTGGGACTCTGAGAAGCCCCACTGCCAGTAAGCACCCTCTCCACCCTCAACCCTGGGGCTTCTCCCAGGCCAGTGTCCTCTGCTATGATAGAACAAGCCCAGCCCCCAGAGAGAGACCAGGGCAAGCACCAAGGGGGGGGCAAGGTGGCCCCTACACCCCAGGACGGGGTCAAGGTCAGTTACCCGCTTGCTCCTCGGGGGCCTCTGTCAGAAAGGGAACAAGAAGGAGAGTTATTCCAGGGGGACTGCTCTGAATTCATGCCCTTCTCTTTCCCCTCAGCCTCCAATCCCCCAAGGCCCCTGCTCTTCACAGCGCTCCCGGTCACTGCCACCTCAGTCCAGGCCTCTGGCCATCCTTGGCAGAGATGCTTCTCCGGGGGTTTGGAGACTTCTGCTCTGATGAAGGGGATGGGGAAGAGGCACAAGCCAAAGAGGGGTGTCTGATAACAGGTGAGTCTGTGCTGGGCCAGGACAAACTGGGAGTGGACTGGGTCCCCACCAGCTCTCCCAGGTGACCCGCTAGGCTGTTGGGATCCACTGCCCCGTTACCTTTGGTGGCGCCTGCAGCCCCCAGGTGGTAGATGGCAGCCAGGATGAGCCAGCAGGCTTTCTGTTCGTCGGGGGAGATGCCCAGCACCTTCATGGCCGTCTGGAGCTTGCTGAACTGCTGAGCCGCCTTCTGCTTCTCCTCAGGCTGCAGCGACAGATGGGCACACTGGCAGCAGATCTCAGAGGGGCTGTCCCTCTGGTATCTCCCATGCTGCTGGAGCATCAGGGCGGCCAAGCTAGAGTAGAGCCGCCCGGCCTGGGCTGGGCTCCTGCTACTCCCATGAGGCAGTCCAGGACATTCCAAGCTTCTCCGACCCCAAGGCCCAGGGCTGCCCACCCGTCCCCAGAGGCCCCTCACCTTGGCCAGTGGTACAATCCCAAACACATTGTTCTCTGCCAAGTGGTTCAAGTGGAGCTCTGTCCTAGGGGTACAAACGAGGCATCAGCACAGCGCTTGGTCCCCACGCCAAGTCCATCTCCCTGCCAGGCTGGAGACAGAGACTCCGCTTCCAGACTCAGTTCTGTCTGCCCATCATGCCCTCCTGTCAGGCCAGCTGCTACGGCCTTTCCTAATTGGCCTGGACACCAGGCCAGAGCACCGGCCTCCCTAGGACAGGTCACAGACAGGCCCTGGTGAGAGTGTCCAGACAGACCCCTGGAAGGGAGCAGAGAACCTGCCTGAAAGGTGAGTCCAGCCAGGACTGAGACCGTGCCCTCAGTGACAAGGAGAGCTCAAGACAATAGTGCCCTGGGCTGCTTGCTCAGCCTTATCATTTATCCTCTTCTCAGTGGACACAGACAGCAAGCCCGAAGGTCTAAGGGAAGAGACTGGCGGAGGAGCCAACGTGGATGCAGGGAGGCCAGCATAGAGGGCACTGGAAAAGCCTTGGGCTTTTGGCCCCTGTGTGGACTCAAACACCTGCTCAGCCCCATACTAGCTGTGTAACTGCGGGCAAGCCTCTGACCACCTGCATCTCGGTCTGCTGTCCTCTCCAGATCTGGCTTCCCAGGAGCACAGATCCTAGCTAGGCCCTGGGAACGCTGAAGGGTCAATGGTGCCCCTCACATATAGCCAGGTCCCCCATGCCCGGGGCCAGGGAGCTCCCGCCGGGCAGGGCCTATGGCTCATTCATCTCGCCATCCCCAGGGCCTAGCTCAGAGCCTAACACATGGCAGGCATGAAATAAACAACCGGCATGGGATGCAATCAAGTGGCAAAGCCCAGGAGCTGTCAGTGGGTGGGAGCCCAGAGCACCCTCCTTGTTCCCTCTGTCCCATCTCACCTGAGGGTGCCATCCCCACAGGCCAGCAGGTAGTAGAAGATATTGAATGTGGCCTCACCGGCTGGGCGTCGTGCCACACGCAGCTTCTCCAGAAGCATCGTCTGTGGCACAGCATAGAGGGTATGTAGGCAAGGAGGCAGTGCCAGGTCAAGCTTCTCCCACCCACACCAGAAAGAACCAGGCCCATGGGAGCGAGTGGCTGCATCTGATTCTCCAGGTGCTCAACCAGCGGCCAGATCACCTCATGGTCAAACCTGGGGCAGACGCCAGAGCCACGGAAGAACACAGGCCCTGCCACCCCGCCCAGCCTCCAGGCACCGTCCTCCTGGGGAGCTGGACACTTTGTGGTGAGAGACTTCATTAGCATGGAAGGGAATCAGCCTCAGCTGGGCCTTACTTTACTGACAGGCCAGCCCTGCCTGGGTGAATCAGCCTGAGAGAAACCCCTGAGCAGGGGCCAGGGCCCCAACTAGGGTGTGGGCAACCCCAGGACGAGCAGGAAGCTGAGCCGTGCCCCATCCAGGGCAGGAGGCACAGGGGGCAGAATGTGGAGGCTCAGGGCAAAGTAGGCCAGCCCTGCCGGGCCCAGGGTCCATTTTGTTAGGGAAGAATCCCAGGAAAATGAGGTGCAGGGGAGAGTCTGATTTCTAGGGCGTGAAATCAGGCAGCCAATCTCTTACTACCCTGAGTGTCCCCTCACCTGAATGGAGGCTGAGGCCACCTGGCCGGCTTGGTCAAAGTCCAGGGAGAGGATCTGGGAGAAGCGGGTGGCGTTGCCGTTCATGATGGTGGGGCTGTTCCCAAAGGCTTCCAGGAGGGTGTACAGAGCCTGCCACTTGTCCACTGCAGAAGACAGGCCCAGGGCCCATCAGGAAAGCCACGGGCAGCTTGCCCCCAGCCACAGGCTCCAGAGGCCCAGGGAGAATGGGAGGCCCATCCCATGGCTGCTCCTCCAGCACCCGAAGGCCCAGTTACTTAGACGAGACTGCTGAGGATCGAGGGGTTTTGTGGACACGGAGAGGCCAGGGAGAAGAAGAGCTGGCACCTCGGCGGGGCCTCCATCCCCACACCCCTCTCCAGCCCATTCTGTTTCCCCAGCTGCCCCTGCCTCACCAGAAAACACCTTATTCCCGCTGGTGCCTGCGATGGTGGCCAAATATTGCACCAGATGCTGGCAGCTGGTGGTCTTGCCACTGCCACTACTGCCCAGGAGGACGATGGACTGGTCCTGACGGCTCATCACCATCGCCCTGTATGCGTTCTGAGCCACGGCATAGATGTGGGGGGCCATGTCCTCCCGCCGACACCCCTTGAACATGTGCATCACCTTGGGCGCGAGAAGGACGGAAGGAAGGGATAGGCGCTCTTAGCTGGCTCCACACGGACAGCCCTCACCCCCAAGGCCCACATCTTTCTGGGCTTTTCACTCCAGGGGAGCCAGAAGGTTCTGAGGCTAAGGTCACGCATGGAAATGCAGATACCAGCCCAGTCCTGGCCTCTGTGAGAGGTCGGGGGAGGGCCTTCTGTCCCCACCCCTTGAAATGACTCCTCTTCCCAAGGCCACTGTGAGAGTGGACAGGAGCCCCGTGGGATGCCAAGGGGAAGGGGTAGAGTCGGGGAAAGTGGGCAGGGGGGAAGGGATAGAGGGGGCGGTCTGTGGGGCCACATGGTAGCTGAGGGGGGCTGCACCTTCTCCGAGTACACAGCGGGGGCCCCCCGGGGGCTGAGGACCAGCAGGCTGGGGCCGGCGTACGTGTGCAGCAGGCTGGCGCCATAGCGCTGGCGCAGCGTGTGCAGGACGCTGGACTCATTGAGGTACACCAGCGAGGCCAGATCCTCCAGACGGTCGCAGGAGGGAGCATTAGCCTGTGTGACAGGACAGGCGGGCGGGCACTGAGGAACAGATCCAGTCTGCTCTGCCAGCGGACAGCCTGCCCAGCCCGGCCCACCTCCTGTGCCTTCCACCAGCCTCCTGCAAACCTTCTCCACGTCATCCTCGTCCACATCCAGGATGGCTCCATCATGGTCTAGCTTCACGCGCACCTTCCCCTCGGGCAAGCTGAGCTCCTCGGATTTGAGCTGAGTGGCTGCAGAGCAGGGACAGACAGACAGACGTGGGCCCGGGAAGCCGTGGCAGCCTTCTTTGGGCCCTTCATGGTCCTGCCTTCTCCCCACTGTATCACCAGCCTCTCCTTGCTCACCACTCAGGCCTCTCCAGACCCAGAGGCCCACCCACCACCCAGCCCTGAAACCAGAGAGACCCAGGCCCTGGGTCTCCCCAGACTCACCCAGTGAGAAGCCATCCTTATGGACCAGCCACACCTTCTCTGTCTCATACCAGGCCTCCTCAGCTGCGATCTGCTCTTCTGTCTTCACCTGTCAAAGGGAGGGGAAGAATAAAGAGTCAGACCCTGTTCTGGAAAGCAGACAAGGACAGCAGGAGAGAGGAGACATGTGAGGGGAAGGGCTTCCGGATGAGCCACTGGGCGAGGGGGACAGGTGGGTGGCAGACACAGAACGGGAGACATCAGAGATATCAAAGGAAGAAGGTGGGGAAGCCAGGAGCTGGTGGCGGATGGTCCTGAGGAGCCCTGAGGACAAGGACACAGAGCTGGGGACCCTGACAGCCCTGAGGGTCTGGAAAGACAGGGACACATGGAGTATGTGCCTAGGAGAGAGCAGATCCCAGGAGAGCAAATCACCAGCCACCCTCTTGCTCCCTCCCTGCAAAGACTGTATGATCAGTATCCCGAGCCTCCAGCCCTCACCCTAGGCCACAGCTGCTGTGACCTTACAGGCCTGGCTTCTCCATTCATCCACCTAATAGGCCCTCCTTCACCAAGCTGGGAAAGGGCATTTCCTCAAGATCTGAGAATGTCTTCCAAGGACTTCAGTACAAAATGATGGGTGAGTCCTAGCCTTGACACTGGTCTTCCCTCCAGAGGATGCTCTCCTGGGCAGGGGCAGTGCCCAGATGCACATGCTAGCCTCCCTGCTCCCCCTCCGTGCCTCCTCAGAAGGAGCACAGACCCATGGGGACGTGCTAAGGCCATACAGGGGCATGAAGCAGCATGGCCAGGGACATGAGGCAGGGGCAGGGGTAGCAGTGCTCTGTCAAATACAGGAAGAGACTTGCATGCCACATGGATGGGCATGGGAATGGGTATAAAGGGGCTGGGAGCCCCCGGAAGCCCAGGTGGTCACCGATCAGGAAGAAGCATTCACGGGCAATGTCAGGGTGTAGGGTTGCCAAACCTGGCACCCCTAAGAGACCTGAGCTGGTCAGCAATGGTGCCTGGGGGAGCTGGGCAAACAGGAGCGGGGCCTGGCCCCCATGGCCCATCAGGCTCCTTTTGTCATGTGGGCAACGGGGCAGCAGGGTCATCCAGTGTCCTTTGGTGGGTGGATGGTCACCCCCCACATGAGCAGCCCCCAAGCTAGCCCTAACCCCCAACTCTCTGGGGATCCCCAGCTGCGAGGTACAGTTAGTCTCCTAGGGTCCCCCACCCTCATGAAACCGACCTGGGGCCAAGGCGGAGACACTGCTCTGTGATACTGACCCCCTGGGTGAGGGATTGGAAAGGACAAGAAACAATAATAACAAATACGTTATTTGTTACATTTCTCGGAGCTGAAAGAAAAAAGATCTGGGTTCTACTCCCAGGTTGGATTCTGGCTTCAGATAACTCCCTCTCCCTCGCTGACAGCACTTCTGGGCTATAGAGTCAGAAGGCTGACTTACACAGCAGTCTCCAGACTTTGCACATCATGGGCCAGTGAAATTACCCCTCAAATAGGAGGATCACTATGGGGCTGTCAACGTTTTCAGTGAAGACATCCAAAAAAGGCTAGTTCTTTATACTTGAAAAAATTAACTTTATAAAACAAAATTCCTTCTTTTTTTCCAAATCATGAGACAGGGGAAGCCTTTGTCTTGAATGGGCATGTGTTGTATGGGTCCAGGGTTTGCAGACGGATGAATAAGGTGACATCACGGGACCATGGCCTCCAGCTAGTTCCTTTAGAGCTAATCTGAAGACAGGTTCCCATATTGGCCAGCAGGGGGAGACAGAGGATGCGCATCTTCAGGCTTCAGAGTGGGGAGCGGGTGCGGGTGGGGGTGGTAGGGGTTCAGCCTTTCCAGCTTTCTCTACCCAGAGGGAGCAGAATTGAAACACCTAGAAACCAAAGCTCTGGCCAGGCCCTTGGGCTTCTGTGGCTGAGAACCATGCGCCACAGAGGCCAAACTGAGTGGCGACCCTCAGTCTAGACACTCCTCCAGGGCCTGACACAGAGCTGCCCCATGTCCAGCTCCCGGCACTGCCTCCCCCAGGGGTCCCCCCAGATACCACGTGAGGTGGGAGCCAGAAGGGGAAAGAGGCCTTACACTCCAGCACAAGGCCCGGGCACAGACGCCAGCCCAGGTACAGGCCGGGGGTGGCAGGTGGTCACCAGAGGAAGCGGAGGGCTCCTGAGGGGGGCAGGAGTACCCTACCTGGCTGTGGGCAGGAGAAGCGGCCTCAGGGTCCAGCTACCAGCAGCAAGCAAAGAAGAGAGAGAGAAAAAGAGGGGTGAAGACAAGCAGGCCGTTGGCATGTCCCCTTCAGCAAGCACCCGGGGCCAAGTGGAGGCGAGAGGGGCGTAGCACCAGGAGGTGGACGGTAGGAGGGCTGGCCCGGCAGGTGTATTGTACCTAGTCAAGGAGAGGCCAGGCCGGGAAGGAGAGGCCCTGCTTGGTGAAGAAACACTTGGTACCGTCAGACTCCTCAGAGGAGATGCTCTGATAAGTCATTCCCTGTGGCAGGAGCGAGCCGCTCTGCCTCAGGCTACAGTCCCTCCTGGGCTGGCCATCCTGTCCATTCTGAATTACCCTCCTCTTCTGTGTTGCCAGACCAGACCACCTCACCACATCCAGGGCCTGGGACCCCTGGGAGCCTCTGGCCTTATCTCCAGGGCATTTCCCAGCCCAGCTCCCCTGTAGCCACCGGACCCCAGTACAGGCTGCCCCTGGCCTCCAGACACACACACAAGGGTGCCACTCCCCAGGCCAAGGGCGGCCCTTCAGAGCTGTCACCCCTGCCTAGCTCATCAAACAGGACCACCAGCAGCCCCAAGTCTAGGACCCCTTCCTCAGACTCCCACTGCACCCCTGCACCACTCCCACCCCATGGCAAGCAGAGGTAGCACCACCCATCCAGGTCCACCTGCCAACTGCCCAAGAACCAGGGGACTGTGGACAGACCCGGTGGCCAGCCTCGACCTCCCCATCTTTGTCTGGTTATTTAAAGGCCTTTCTGGAGAGGAAGGGGAGTCAGCCAGGCCTTGGACCTTGCCTGTTAGAAATGGGCAAGGAGTTAACAGGCCCCACCTGGGACTGGAGAGCCAGGGCATCAAGAAAGGGGAGTGTCTTCTCCCTGCCTCGCACCCACCAGGCCCTGGCACGAAGATACGCCCTCCGGGGCAAGAGACTGGGGCCAGAGAAGGGGCTGGATCTCTAGCCAGAGGGGTCCCTCCCACAGGTTCCCTGGAGGAACAGGCCTCACTGCGCGCAGACCCTCCACAGTGCCCTTCTCTCATTTCTCCAAATGGGAAGCCCATGTGAGGGCCCCCAGGCCTCCAGGGAGCCACACTTCCACTGTCAGGTGGGCCTACACACACAGACACACACAGTCTGGCCAGCAGCCCCAGCAAAGAGGAGACCAGGGACTGGGAACCACACGTGAGAGGCGGCATTACAGGAGCTGTGAAGATCCTCTCAAGCCGCTGGTGGGCCTCCTCTGCGGGGGTCAGCTGGACGTCGGGGGCAGCTCCTGCCTAAAGGTCAAACCACTATTAGTCCCGGCCTGGGGAACTGGGGGCACAGCACACCAAGCTTCTAGCTCAGGAAGCCACTGGGACCCCCGTGGGTTAGTGGAATAGGGTCAGGGAGGCAAGCCGGGCACCAATTTGAGTTTTTAAGCTCTCAGATGAGAATAAAAACAGGTGCCTGGGAGTTCTAGGGTTAATTCTTCCCACCACTTTAACCACTCCAGCACCAGGACGGCCCGTTCTCACACGCATCCTCTGGCCCCTGCCCTGGGCCCAGGCGACAGGTGGCTGAACTCCAGGTTGGGGCCCATCTCAGCCCCAACTCCACCTGAGTGAGAGGTGGAGGGACAGGGAGCCAGAGGGAAGGCAGCCGGCCCAGGAACGGGCGCATGACGCTCTCTGGCTCCTTGGAGGTTCTTCTTAGGGGCTAGTGGTTCGCCTCACACCAAGACGCCCCTGCCAACTCCTGTGTGCCAGGAGGTCACTTCCCTGATGCAGAGTGGGCCAGGAGGGGTGAGGGAAGCTGCCGCCTGCTCTCTTCTAAGTTCTGCAAAGCCCGGGAAGAATGGAATGGGGAGCAAGGCACGTCTGAGACCTTAGGAATCCTATCAGGCAGCAGTCAGAGAGGAGGGCCTCTAAGGCCTGGGAGACAGGACAGGTCTTTAGGTGGTCCCCTGCCCCACTTCCCCCGACTGTACCCTTTCAGCCAGAAGGAGCACACAGGAGCACAGAGAAGCAGTAGTGAGACTTGACGCGTCCCTCCACCCACCCACCCACCCAACTCCTGAGGCCCCAGAAGGGTCCACAAAATGGGAAAGCTTGAAGAGAAATGCCCCCCAACCCAAGGACCAGCCAAGCAGGCATCGCCTTCCAAGGGAAAGGGCTGGACAGATCGTCCTTGGCCCTCCCCTGTGCCTCTCAGCCTCCTGTCCCACCCAGAGGGCACTTTGTGCAGACAGGACCGCCGATACAAAGGGGACCAACTGTGCGCCTTTGCCACCCAGGCCCAGAGCTCCTCAAGAGTCCTGCTGCCAGAGGGACAGCTGGCCAGGCCTGAAGAAGCAGTGATGGCGATGATGGTACCAATAAGCACTGTTACCAGCATCACTATGGACGCTACCATTTACGGAGCACCCACCACACCAGGGATTAGGCTCAGAGCATTCATTCCCTGTATCCTTTCTAATGTTCACAGCAACCCTTCAAAGTAGGTATTATCCCTTATTTGCAATTCTGAAATCCAAAAAGCCCTCCAAAACAAAAGATTTTTCGTAACAGTTTTGGTGGCAAAACCTGACTGTTTAAT